ACGCTCAGGAGCCATAAGACAGTGAATGGCCAATCAAAATTGACAACTTGTGTCATATGTGGCGTGATGTTTCTCTCATTTTTTGTTACATGCTGTAACTTTATTTGTTCTTTCGTCTCCAATTAATCATCTCATGACCCCTCAGATTTATCTTGGGACTGTTTAAAGGGGCCATACCGCGAGATTGGGAGCCACTAGACTAAACTGCTTAACTGCATATAAAGTATTTAAAAGTACAACAGCAAACTTCTACTTCCATGATGATATGTGAGTATTATACTAATAATAACAATACAAGTAACATGCTGTATGATAATATAATTTTTTGAACAGAATGAATACTTTCACCTTGTTGTAATAATAAGATTTTCATTTCTTAATACTAAATACAATTAAAAATTAAAGCTGCAAGCAGCGTTGGTCGGGTCCTCGGTCTGTATTGCAACCTCTTGCCCGTCTGACCTCCATTTTGACAATTTATTCCCCTTCACTAGACTTTGACCTACAAATAGACAATTTTCATAGTCTCTCTTCTCAGCCTCAGACTGTCAGTGAGTCACATGACCAGCTGCACTGAGCTGCCAATCAGGATTAAAGCTGCAGGTGATGATGTTATGATGAGTCATCATTCTTCATGCCCCTGGCTGAGACAGTTACATTTTTACTCAGTTTCTCTCTCCCATACAGCCACAATTTTGACCAAATATGTGTAAAAACAGCGTATTTTTGTGGTAAATCTTGTTTGAAAGCCCTCAATGTCATTTTTTAAAGTTGTAGGACCTTTAGTTTTTTGTGTAGATGACCAACTGACACAGCATGTCTGGATATGTACCATAGACAGCCATACAAAGTATGAGCCGAGGCTGCGACAGCTCATCAACTTTAGCGACTCGTCATTCGGAAACCGGTTGAGAAACGTCAAATCCCTTCAGCACTTTTGCTCATCATGGCCTTCTCTGTCTCCTGTGTGATTTTCAAGCTGACACCATTTATGATGTCAGACAAGTTAATTTTTTTCAAACAGATGGTTTCATTCTTTTTTTTTTTTTTACTTTGAAAGGCAAATTGCGGACTTCCTGTTTGAAATAGGTCAGGGGTGTCAGCATGAGATTTGTGGGTCTCATTGAGACAAATGCTTTGGTCTTGGTTTGATCTCTGTACAACATTCCTACTGGCTGCTAGGGTCGTTTTAGTGTGGTTTTTGTACCTAGGGGGCGCTAGAGAGCCCATTTTGGGTTATTTTTTTTCATTTTATTAAATTTTTCAGCAAGTCGGAGGTGCGTACCAATTTTGGTGAGTTTTTGAGCGTGTTTCTGGGGGTCTAATTAAGGTTTTAGTGTTCATCAGGCAAATAAGAAGAAAGAAAGAAACGATTCTTGCTGCAGCAAGAAGGGGTCCTCGGACCCTAATCATGTTATCCTACATTGTTATAGAATAAACTACCCGGCATTATCTAAAGCAGTTAAAATTATTCCTAATTTTTTGACTGCGACTGCAAAGCGATGCTCACACATGCATATTATTTGGAAATGGGACACTGCCAAATGAGCATGTTTGCTTTTTGATGCTTATATTTTATCTTGTAAGCTTGACTTGTATTGGACTTTCACTTAACCAAGAGTTCTGCCTTTTTCCACCACTGACTAAATGTGCATGCTGTGCTTCAGGGTGTATTATCAGTGACGCAGTTACCGGCATGCTTTGAGTGTGTTTGACTATCACCTCAATAACTCTGTGGCTATTTTCATAGATAATTACCGTGGTGTTACCCACATTGTATGAATAAACTCTCAAGACAAGTTTATGTTGAAGGAAAGCTTGCGTGCGAACATTTATGCCACATCCTGTCAGCTGCATGTTTGTACAGTTGGTAGCAAGAGAGATGAGTGATTTGGGCTCCAACTTAATTTATAGCGCACATTTAGCACAGGATTTGCATCGAGAACTCTCTTCTTTCCTGTAAAGTTTCATTTGCAGATGTAATGCCAGTCAAATCAGCATAATACAAGAGCACAATGCAAGAGTCAAAGGTTGCCGCTGCCATGACATAACAAGCAAAGTAGTATCATATCTGCAAACAAAACCAAGAGAAGCAGAATGCAGTACTTTGTCGCTGAATGCATGGCATCACATAGGGAAATAAAGCTTTAAAGATGTTTATAACGTGCATTTATTTCAGTTCAGCTGAAGTGGCTACGCCCTGTGGTAAACCACAAGTGTGTGTGTGTGTGTGTGTGTGTAACTGCAAGTGTGTGAGGGTCTGTTAATAGTATAAAACAGACTAAGACAAGCCCCTCGCATTTGGTAAAAACAAAAAAAAAGAACAAAGATTTAAAAATATGTCCTATTAGTGTCAAATCAAACAATGATTGTGTGAAAGTGTGCATATGTCTCTTTATATATGTGTATTTTTGTACTTATATTTGCACTGCTTTTTATGTGTAAATTTCTTCTGTCTAGCATGTATGTATCTCTGTGTGTACTGCTGCTGACAACACTGTGAATTTATCCACTGCGAAATAAATAAAGGCATATCTTACGTGATCTTATGTCTCTTTGTGTATACGTGACAATGCAGAGCCATTGGCAGAAAGAGGAAGAGAAGGCAGATGCTGATTATAAGCAGATTAGTGAAAGGATGCTTGCTGTTGGTTTATTATGCACAAGTCAGCCATCAGAGCAGGGTTTGAGGGCGTTGGCACACTTAAAATAACTGCGCGTGTACAACTAACCCCTCCCCATTGTGGTTTGTGCTTTTTTTGTAGTACAAGCACTCGCTGCAACCTACAGTGTGGATAAGTATATGGATTTGATATATGTGAGACTGAGCTGAACAGATGGCGATTGACATGTGCAAAGTTAATCCTGGTATTATGGAGAAGACAAATAAAAACTCTCTGAAAACAGAATGAAACAATTTCGAACGTATGCAATGTGTTATGTCTGAGGCAGACTAATAAAACTTTAATTTGGAGTCTCTAGATGCAAAGTTATATAATAAATCAAACTCACGTGAGCAGCACCTCTTTGCTGATCATATTGGCTATTTCTGATAAATTGTTTTCACTTTCCTCCCTTCTCTGCATTGCATCTGTAGAAAATAGTACAGGGGAAACAAAAAAAAGAAAAAACTAATGAGCAACACATGCGGAAATACTACTGTCTCCATCCTTTCAGTTAAACCAGTGATTCAAACACAAGCTTATTGTTCATCTGCCACAGTTTCTGACAGGAAATAAGGATTTTCTGGAGTCAGAGGTGATGTTCAGTTTAGGTATTAACAGAAAAATACAAGCTAACAAGGAGCAGTACACTGTAGAGGATAAGTGTACCGAGCAAAGTCAACCTGAGATAGAAGTCAGATGCACAGGACTGCCAAAATACGCCCAAAACCAGCAAATGGCAGTTGTTTAGGTGATAAATCTGTGTCCTAAAAATGTAAGCTATCCTGACACTGAGAAAACATCCTTGTTTATGTTTAATTGCCTTACCATCCAAACAATTTACAGAGTTTTAGTGGTGTCTTTTTTTCATAAAGCAGCATGTAATCAGTAGAATCATGAGCTCTAGAATCAAAAGTAGCACATAGCGTAACTATATTTTCAGCTTGTGGCTGGTGCGAGCAACTTTTCCTCAAAGGCTGGATGTGTGCATTAGGACTGGATTTCACAATCCTGTTTAAAGGGTAAATGTTTTGAAACTATTGTGTTGTTTCTTGTTGCTTTACAAAACTCTTTCATTTTTAGTTGCATCAGCAGCAGCAGCAGCAGCAGCACTGTCAAGCTTTTGCCATGAATGAATTCAGTGCAACTTGCAGCAACCATGCAACTATCAGTACTATAGCACCACCCAGTGAACACTTAGTAGACAGTGAAGCCAGGAGGTACAGGATAAATGTAATAGGTCCTGTAAACCCATACAGGTGGTGTCACTTATTCTATCTGAGAGCTTGGCTTGGGTTGAAACTGGATGCTAAGAAAAAGGTAATATTACCTAACCCAAATAATGACAAAAAGTGTATTTTTCCCCAATCAAAAGTCAACAGTCATGCAAAAGAAATTCAATTCAAGTAAAGCTTTTTGCATGCTGTTACACCTCTGAGATTTCATCGAATTAGTCCACCTGTGTGGGTGTGCATTACCACCTTTATACAGATATAGCACATTTACAACAATACATATTGACTGATGTTACTAATTTTCCAAACAAATCCAATATTATTCATTATATACACTTGCCTGATTAATTTAAACTTCAAAGTTAAGACCCTACCAAATGAAAAATAATGCAAATGTACCGTACCATCTTAAATATCAGGGTTAAAAAGCGACAATATTGTGTACTATGCCAGCCACTTGCCTCGCTAATTTGAAAATTAACGTTAGATTCTACAAACATACACATGGAAAACCCATGACATCCCATGACTTCTTATGAGCAAATCTTTCTCAGACACTAAGGTGAAATGAGCAAACATCTTGGCTTTGATTGTGTGATATGCAGAGTGGATCCTAGAAGTACTTATTATCTTGTGATGATTTTCCAATATGCTTATAGTTCTTGACGGTGAAAGACAGCACAGGTGACAGTAATTGACAAAAACACTGCAAATGTTGGTACACTCACACCTGCTAATTCCCTCTACTGACAAATAAATCAGATATCGACACAAGGTCCCACAAACTGATAAAATGTAGTAACTTTATCCTGTCTATGTTTGTGGTGTTGAAGGGTCCTCATCTCCAAATTAATTTCAATTTGAATACATTTCCAAAAATCAGCTGGTACATGGTGTACCAAAGAATCCAGCTGTTAGACGAAACAGGTGTGATCAACAAAATAATGAGGTCATTCATTAGAGCACTTCAAGTATTGTGTGGAACCGATTTTTTAAAGACTAGTTGTTTCGTGTAAAGGTTACAGGGAGGTTGTGGCAGGGCAAATAACTGCAGCACTGCCCCTTTAAAGAGCTCTCCTCCCCGTCTCTCCCACCGTGTTGCTCTCTTCCCCATTTCGCTGCTTTGTTTTCATTGTCGCTCTTTTGATCATGGCTGCTCATTCTACCGAGGAACCGTTCCCCTTCCACGGGCTGCTTCCCAAAAAAGAAACCGGCGCCGCCTCTTACCTCACCAGGTTCCCCGAGTATGATGGCCGAGGGGTGCTCATCGCCATCCTCGACACCGGCGTGGATCCCGGGGCCCCCGGCATGCAGGTAAATCCGACCGGCTGCCTCGTGTTAGCTACGACCTAGTCGGTGGAAGCTAGTAAAAGCTAAAGGCCCGACTCGTTTACACGAACTGAACGCAGTCATCTAGCGGAATCAGTTAGCTAGCTAGCTTGCTAACACCCGCAGACAGACACACTAATAATGTCATTTAGGTTTATAGCTTTTATGACAACCAATTAAAGACAAAGTAGTTAACAACAAGTGTTTCCTCCTGCTGTCAAATTGTGGTTCGGTGCTAAACTAGCGGACAGTTAACTAACTTAACGTTAGCTATTAATTTGGCATACATGCTAGTACGATAGCCGGGAAGCTAACAGCTGAATTTGTTTTCCTTCAGTCTCTCCAGTGTTTACAGTTTGTCTCGTCACTCTGTTAGCATTAATAACGGGTTGAATGTTGCGACTCGGTTTGTAGTAGCTAGCTAAAATGATGTGCGGTTAGTTAATTGTTAGGTAAGTGAACCGTAACTACACTTTAACTGCCAAGTCACACTGGGATAAAGTTAGTTAGCGAGCTACACAGCACTAAAAAGGTTAACAAGAATCTGCCCGTTTTCATACAGATATGTCCTTGTCGCGGGGTTAGGTGGCACGTCTTCATACTAAATTGAGGTCAACCATTTATTTTTAATCTTGTCACCTTGCTTCAGTCATGCTGTGAAGGGCGGACACTGAATCTGACTCCTTAATTGTGAGTAAACAAATCCGTTTACGGGGAGACATTGCTGTTACAAGGCTTTGGAAGCCTTTTTGCCTTTAGAATGGTTTGTACATCACCAGATTTAAAATGACAGGCTGTGCTATTATCAGTTCACAATGCCTGCAGTCCTCCCCTGGTCAGTATAAGTTACTGAATATGTACTCTGCATCTGTTCTAGGCAAAATTACCTGATCGCTTTCTGTATTACTGCTTCTTTAGGTCACAACAGAGGGGAAGCCAAAGATTGTCGACATCATTGATACAACAGGCAGCGGTGACGTGAACATGACCACGATGGCCGAACCTAAAGATGGGACAATCGCCGCCCTCTCTGGCAGAACACTTAAGGTTGGTAGAAACCTTTTGATGTTCAGACTTGTAAAAAGAAATGAACAGCTGTCATATTCTGTTGCAGGTATTGCCCTACATCTGAAGTAATTTTGTAGTGATGTGTTATCTGCCTCACTGTGTCTTTTTATGTCTCCCAGATCCCTCCTGCCTGGGTCAATCCATCAGGGAAGTATCGCATTGGAGTTAAAAATGGCTATGAGTTCTTCCCTAAGGCTCTTAAAGAAAGAATACAGGTAGGAAGACATGGCAGTATTACTGTACTAGGTCTGCCATAGTTTTGATTGTGCATTGCACAGAGCTTACTGCTCTGTTGACATCTGCACAGTGCGAAATGCACAGAGACTGATATCCCATAAACAAGCTCATCCATGATAAGAGCTACGTAAAACTGACTTGCGATCACATAAAGATTTGAAAAGTATGGTTGTATGTTATGTTAATGGCTCCTCCTCACTAATGTTTTGGTACCACTTAAAAGAGATTTATTCTTGATAAGTTAAAAAAAAAAAAAGTGTGTACTGAATATTGCCAAAATCCTGTTGGTAAAATAAATTGAAATCTGTTGTAAGTTTCTGGATTTTAAGAGATACTTTATTATGGTCTTCTAGAAAGAGCGAAAGGAGAAGATGTGGGATCCACCACACAGAGCAGCACTTGCTGAGGTCTGTCGCAAGACAGAAGAGTTTGACCTCACTCATCCTACACCTTCACAGGTCAGACCTACAAACTTGAGTTCTTAATGTACTCATCATTGTTCCCCCTCAGTTCCCAGTAATTTACTGAATCTGGACAGGATTTTTCTGTGCTTTCTGTCTCACTTGTATCATTCAACCTGTTTGCTCTCTACAGATTGAGAAGTTGCAGAAAGAAGAGTTGCAGAGTCAGTCCGAGCTGCTAGCATCACTAGAAAAGAAGTACAGCGATCCTGGTCCTGTGTATGACTGTGTGCTTTGGCATGATGGCATCACATGGAAGTAAGCCCTGCCCTCTTTATAGCCTCTTTAGTCATTAAGTTTTTTACCTTTCCTCTTCACTATGTGCTACAGTTCACCATTTATATATTCATTGTTCATACTGTCCATTTCTGTTTGTTTCTGTCAGGGCTGTCGTCGACACTTCAGAGTGTGGAGAACTGTCCCAGTGCACTGTACTGAGCTCATACAGAGAGACACAAGAGTATGCCACGTTAGGAAATGCTGAGATGCTTAACTACTCTGTTAATATTTATGATGAGGGAAACACACTCTGCATTGTCACCAGTGGAGGTAAGGAACTAAAACACAAAATCCATCCTATCTGCAAAGAAGTGTTCATATGATTCAGTCAGTCATGTGCTCTTCTAGAGTGCATTATTGCAGATTCGGAAGTTAAGGCTGCATAATGTGTAGACGTCCAGAGTGTAGTCTCAAATATAACCTCCTTGTGTGCTTTCAAAGGCGCTCATGGGACACATGTGGCAAGCATTGCAGCAGGTTACTTCCCAGAGGAACCTGAGCGTAATGGTGTTTCCCCTGGTGCCCAAATTCTGGCTGTGAAGATTGGAGACACCCGCCTCAGCACCATGGAGACAGGCACAGGACTCATTCGCGCGGTACACTCCCCAAAGTCTCTGTCAAATGTAGATTAACTAACAGGCTGTCACTTCTCCTGTATTTTTTTACACTACTTATTTCTTTATATCTCTGTCATTTTAAGATGATCGAAGTAATCAACTACAAGTGTGACCTGGTCAATTATAGCTATGGGGAAGCCACTCACTGGCCCAATTCAGGGTAAGCATTGTGACAGGGTATTTGATTATGAAGGTTCTATCATTTGTTGTTGCACACTGTGACTGATTGTCATCATCAATCTGTCTTTCAGGAGGATTTGTGAAGTGATCACAGAAGCTGTGCAGAAACACAATGTGATATTTGTTTCAAGTGCGGGGAACAATGGTCCCTGCCTGTCCACAGTCGGCTGCCCAGGAGGAACCACCAGCAGTGTCATAGGTACCTGTTTCGATTAAACACAGCTTGAATTGGAGGAAAATTGAAAAAGATATTAATTTATTAATTGGAACTTTATTTACACTCCAAGTACATTTAGGTATGAAGGCCTCATTTACAATGTAGCAGAGTAGGACAATAAAAGATGTTGGTACACAAATAACAAACTTAGGTAGCCATAAAATAATAAAGAGTAAAGTTAGTAAAATAATAAAAACACTAATTAGAGCATTTTAGTTTTAAAAACAAACAAATGAGTTAACTAAAACAAGAGCAGCTGGAAGGAGGATAAAATGAAATAAAAATTGAAAACAAAGATTTCCCCGAAGGTTAACAGTGAGTCAAGCTTTAGATCATTCTGTATGTTATTCCAGGTTACAGGACCACAGTCAGTAAAACAGATTTTCCAAGCTCAGTAAAAACAACCTGCATCTGAAAAACATTCTTTATCATTTTTTCCCCCTAAATCTCCAATCAAGTGCTCAAACTGCATCAACCTAAAGTTCCAAAAAAACACACAACACCAACATTATTATAACTTCTAAATTTTTTCAGCCATGGCGCCACTGGGGTAGAGCTGGAAGTATACTTTATATTGTTCACAGCAGTAAAGATATAAACACACTAGCTTGAGGAACCTTGGCCATTGTGATGCAAAATATTGTAATTAGCATGTTTTTTATAAATGAAAATTCCAATAACACTGAATGTAACAAAGTTATACATTATTTAGCTCTAATATAGATGTATTCATTTTCTTTACATGTCGCCTTACTTCCTGCTTCCTTCTCTACGTAGGTGTTGGAGCATATGTGACTCCCGATATGATGGTGGCAGAGTATTCCCTGAGGGAGAAGCTGCCTCCCAACCAGTACACCTGGTCGTCCAGGGGCCCCAGTACTGATGGGGCTCTGGGGGTCAGCATCAGTGCTCCTGGCGGTGCCATTGCATCTGTACCCAACTGGACCCTTCGTGGTACCCAGCTAATGAACGGCACTTCCATGTCATCCCCCAATGCCTGTGGAGGCATTGCACTTGTCTTGTCAGGTGTGTCCAGGTTCACGGACTCGTACTAGACTCGGGAATATATTGCATGCATGAAAGTGTGTTTGAATGAACATCTGATGCCATTGTGGGATTTTTTTTTTCTTTGATAAAGGACTGAAACAGAATGGGATCACTCCCTCTGTTCCTGCTGTGAGGAGAGCATTGGAAAACACAGCTCTGAAGGTCGATGACATTGAGGTGTTTGCACAGGGCCATGGAATAATCCAGGTAACGTTACTACAGCTGCTTTCATTGATACATTTCCTTTTTTTTGTCTTATGTTGTATTTATTATAAGTATTCAAGTATTAGTTACATTTTGAGTGCCATCCAGTAATCTGCATCCTGTCTTCTTCTCAGGTGGACAGGGCTTTAGACTACCTCACTCAGCATGCCTCTTTACCCACGAGTCACCTGGGCTTCTCAGTAAGCGTGGGAACTCAGAGAGGCATCTACCTCAGGGATCCAGGCCAGATTCTTGCACCTTCAGATCATGGAGTAGGCATTGAACCCATCTTCCCAGAGAACACAGGTACAAGTTAGCTTTTGTTTGTCTTAACTGCATTTTATTTTGGTATGTGTGTAATTTTTTTTCCCATTTACACCATCTGTCTTCTTCATCCACCACAGGAAACTCTGAGCGAATCTCTTTGCAGTTACACTTGGCGCTCACATGTGCCGCCCCGTGGGTCCAGTGCCCCTCCCATCTAGAGCTGATGAACCAGTGTCGTCATGTCAACGTCCGCATCGACCCTGTGGGGCTGAGGGAGGGAGTGCACTACACAGAGGTGGGGATAAATAAGAGAAAGAGGAAAAAAGATGGAACTAATTAATGTTATTTTTTAAATCTTCACTGTGATTGTGTTTTTCAGGTGTGCGGGTATGATACAGCGGCACCTAGCTGTGGCCCACTATTCAGAGTCCCAATTACAGTCATTATCCCAGCCAAGTAAGTTCTCAAACTGAGTGTTTTTGTATTTCTGAGAGGTTTGCATGAGTGTGTTTTTGTGTGTATCAAGCAGCTGTTTTTTTTTTTACCTTCTGGTAGAGTGACAGATAGTCGTAATCAGGAAGTGTGCTTCTCAGACGTCCACTTCAGACCGGGCCAGATCAGACGCCACTTCATCACTGTTCCTCAGGGAGCCTCCTGGGCAGGTCAGTGTCTCTTTGTGGGATACTTGCAGTGGAAAGGTGGGAATGTGACAGCTTTCATGCAAGGTATTGGTGATCAGTCACAGATAGTATGACTGATGAGGATATGTGTTTGCTAAAGGCGTCCTAGTGTTGGATTTTATTAATTTGATGTCACATTAGGTTATGTGTATGAGTCAACAGTGTTCTGAAACATTATACATAGCATTCTTAATGTTAATGTGGTCGGGAGCATAAGGTCTGGCTGGTGTAGTAGTAGTAAGCTAGTCACTGAGGGTATCTTCTGCAAACCCCACAGTGAATAGATTTTCCTAATACCTTGGTGCCTGAGATTTTTTAGCTGTCAACCGGCCCATAAATCAGAACTGAAAAGATGTAATTCGAAATCACATATATGTTAAAGTTACATGCTATTAAGAAGTAGCTTGACATAATCAAAATGTGACCTTTTAATTTTTAACTTTTTCTCTTTGTCTCTTCTTCCTCCACATTCCAATGTCTCCTCTTGCTTTTCCCCCATCATCTACATTCTCTCTTCTCCTTGTTCCCCTGTTTTGTACCCCTCTCTGTTCACGTCTCTTTCCTCCAGAAATCACACTGACCTCTCATTCAGGAGATGTGTCGTCAAAGTTTGTTCTTCACGCAGTGCACCTGGTCAAGCAGAGAGCCTACAGAGCTAATGAGTTCTACAAGTTCTCCTCACTGTTGGAAAGAGGCTCACTAACCGAAGCTTTCCCCGTTCTGGTATGCGTATTTCGTTTCATTTCACAATATACAGCTTTTGAAATGATTATAAGGTTACTGTGAGCACTGTTTTCTTTTTTTTCCTTTGCGGTTTTTGGTGAAGCTGTACTTTATCTTCTTGAGATTGTAATGAACAGCCCGTTTGGAGATGACTGTTTTCTCGTCATCTCACAATTCTTTCTTCTTTAAGGTATTAATTAAGGCAAATTAAGTGATTTTTTAATATATTTTTTTTTGGAGTCACCATTATTTTTAGCATAAACTGTATTTGTAAAGTCAACAAATGATCCGAATCAAATTAATTGTTCTAAGTTACTGAGACACTTTTTTCATGTCTTTTAGAAGATGTAAATATTCACTTACTCAGTTTTGCAAAGAATACAGCAGATAGTCTAATAATTACTTTCAAATCTATACGTTTTTTTTGGCTGGGATTTTGCAGGAATGTCATTCTGAAAACGTACCTTAAACAAACCCGGTTTCATCTTTAGTTCTCTACTAGGTGCCATTGATAAGTGCCAGGAATGGAAGTCATTAGCTGCATACATATAAAAGCTGCATGTGTAAAACAAATGTTAGAATGACCGCTTATTCTTTGTTTGTCTCTTGTCTCCTCCAGTCGGGTAGAGTAGTAGAATTTTGCATTGCACGCTGGTGGGCGAGCCTGGGTGAAGTCACGGTGGACTACAGCATCTCATTCCATGGACTCAACACCTCTCCTTCACCGCTGCACATAGTACGAAAAGCACAGGCATACAGATTAGCAATAGCAGAAAAGAAGCTACTGCAATCCAGACTGTATGTACCGTGTTCTGTTTTTTTCACTCTCATTTGTCTCTGCGTAGCATGCTTCAGAGGGAGTGACGAGTTTCGATGTGTCATCGCCGCTGAGATATGAGGAGGTGTCCCCGACTATCACCCTCAAGTCATGGGTTCAGCCCTTGAGGTGAGTGCATGTGAACATGTGGTCTTACAATTATAGAAGATTTTAGTTCCTTGTTTAATCCTTGATGTTGTTGTTGTAGGCCCTTAAGCTCAAAGATAAAAGCCTTGGGAGTGAGAGATGTTCTGCCTAACAACAGACAACTTTACGAGATTGTCCTCACCTACAGCTTTCACCAGGTACTGCAAAGCCACCTGCACAACTCGTGAGAAGAAAGCTTCTCTTCAGATTTGTTTTTTTGTTTGTTTTTTTTTAACATTTTTGTGTGCATGTGAAATCTTCTTTGGTTCTGTCCTCAGCCTAAAACTGGAGAGGTTACACCCAGCTGTCCAATGCTGTGTGAGCTGCTGTATGAGTCTGAGTTTGACAGTCAGCTCTGGATGCTGTTTGATCAGAACAAGAGACTGCTGGGCTCAGGGGATGCTTACCCACACCAGGTACGCTTAGCCACATGAAAGAGTTGACCCTTCGATTGCATATGTTTTCATATTAGTAGCTGGTGAATACTGTCAGCGAGTGGAGTGTGAATAAAAAGAAGGATGAGACATTTCTGGTGTACACACAGTGAGCTAACAATCCCCCCCCCCCCTCAATTTTACCTCTCCAGTATTCTCTGAAGCTGGAAAAGGGAGACTACACTGTACGTCTGCAGGTTCGCCACGAGCAGTCCACTGAGCTGGAGCGCCTTAAAGACCTGCCGTTCGTGGTTTCTCACCGTTTATCCACCACCCTCAGTCTGGATGTGTACGAGACACATCGCGCTGCCCTCATGTCCAAGAAGAAGGCAAACTCTGTCACCTTGTGCCCGGGGGCTACCCAGCCTTTCTACGTCACGGCCCTGCCAGATGACAAGTGAGTATATCTATCAAAATGATTTTCTTTTGTATTGCATAGTCTTTAATTTACAAAAAAAATTGCCTTACTCAACTGGTATGAGGTTTCCCCCTAATTGCACAAAAGGAGAAGCAAAAAAGTATTTTTAGTTTACTGCCAGACAGGAGACAGATTGAATTTGTTTTGAGATAAAGATTGCATCTGAGGCAAATAGAAAAAAATTGGATCATTGATCAATTGCAAGGCAGAGGTATTTTGGAGTTACGCTGGGAATGAGCGATGTTTACTCGTTTCTCAATGTATTCTCCTGAGACACTTATACCCCAATAATCCACTATAGCTAAACCACTGAAAAAGATAATCTTTATTTATCAAAAAACAATCTTCGAATATATGTTTTGCTATATAAATGATGTCAAATGTGTGATAGTTGTCTTTATGCTCTCTGTTGCTGTCTCTCTCCCATTGCTTCTCCCTTTTCAGGATCCCCAAGGGAACGAGTCCAGGATGCTACCTATCAGGTTCTCTCGTTGTACCCAAGAGCGAGTATGGCAAGAAAGCTGTGAGTGCCTCTTTTTTTTTTTTTTCTTAATCCCTATACTGCAGAGCAGTGGTCAGTTCTACTCATCAGGACCTAAAGTTGTGCTGGTTTTCACATTTGCCAAATCGGTGAATTTTACACATTGTCATGTTAATGCAGAACGCATCACGATTACTTTGGCCTTGTCAATCATGAAAAATCTGACATTGAGTCTTTAACTTTGTAATGCCAGAAGTACTCATGGTCCTGACAATTGGACAAGACCGGTAGTTGGCTACTCTCAGTTTTTTACTTTTTAAAATTCTCTGAAATGTATCACTCATCAGCTTCAGACCGAAGCTGGTCAGTCGGGTCTGTTGCTTGTTAAACTGACTGCTGTCCTCTTACTTAATGCATGACCCTTCATATTCTTTTTTTCTCATTTGCCGTTGTCCATGCTTCTGTTTCAGTCCAGAAAAAAAACAGCTGACGTTGCGAATGACAGATCAAACACACACTGGATCTGATTTTGCTGTTGTGTGATTAGATGAGTAATAGAGCAATATTAGAGCATATCTTTGGTTGTTAACATGGTGAAGTTGAAACTTCTAGACCACGTTTTTATTATTGGACTTCAGGATCAAAATTTGGAAAAAATATGAATTGAAAAAGATAAAGCAATCTTTTAGTTTATATTCTGTCTATTTTTTTGTCTCATGAGACTTGTTACAAGAAGCTTGAACAGTATTTGCTGTTTACTTTAGGGCCAAAGGGACGTGTTTGCCAAAAAAACACAAATGAGTAAAATGTCTGTAAAAGTCAACAACCAAAATCAAACATTTACTTTTATATGCACTACAATGGCAAATGTTTTATTTCCAGAACCTAAACTTGATGTCTTCCTGGCCTGTAAGGGCCACATCACTAAAGAGCTGCTTCTGTATTCACTTCTTCATATTTTTCTTGTGTGTTTGTGGCTTTGCTCTGTGGGTCCAATGCAAAGACCTTTCATTTATTCTTCAGCAGCTATTGACAAATTGACATTTTTCACTTCGTGAAGAAGTGTGCATTGTTTGAGCTCTATACACACAACAGTTTTATTAACCTTAAGGCAAATTTTCACTCTGAATCAAGTGATTATTTTCTTTTTTTTTCTCACACAAAGTGTCCTTGGAAAAAAAGTAGATTAAATTTGTTTGATGTGAAATCTGAGCTTGTCAGCAACAAGGATTACTCCACTGTTTATCACTGTACCGTGTGTTTAATAGGTGACAGGTAGGTAGGTAGACTCTCCGAGTTTCTGAGTGAGGATGAACAATAAAATGAACAAAGAGAGAATCCTTTTTGGTGTGTTTGTGTTGTCTCTTCCTTACTGTGTGTTATTCTGACCACCAGGGGCAGGCCTCTGCAAAACGACAAGGAAAGTTTAAAAAGGTACTGGATGAGCTAGAAACACTGTACAACAGAGCGTCCACTGCTCTCCTACCATCAGGAAATGGCTTATTCTTTACCTTAAGATGGGATTTGTAATATCTGCATTAATCATGTCAAAGCATGTCGATATTTCTGTACTGAAATATGCAACAGTCTTATCGTAATCGTTATTCACTTTGATGGAGGAGTTAAAGTTTTCTGGTGGTCAGTAAAATTACAAATTTATCTATAAATACAACATAACTTGATAATGAGCACTACTTTAAGCTTTTATAAATGGATAATAAACAACTTTGGTGTCTTAGGACATGACATTGTTAGGAAGAGGGTGAGCATTTGGGATGCTGATACAGAGTAGTGAAAGCGCCCATAGCTTTAGTTAATTATGTCAGTTACTGGATTTTGACTTTGACTATTTATTGTGTGTGTTTCTTTAGGATATTGTTCCAGTCATCTATCACTTAATTCCTGCTCCCAACAAAACAAAGAATGGAGGGAAGGAGAAAGACAAAGAAGGAGACAAAGAGAAAGACGTCAAAGAGGAATTTGCCGAAGCCATGAGAGATTTGAAGATTCAGTGGATGACAAAGTGAGCACAGTTTCTCATCCGTCTTGTTCTGCAACAAATTTTTTGCTTTGCCTTATTTTTCTTAATTTCTCTGTCAACCATCTGTTATCTGTGCTGTTCAGGTTGGACTCCAGCTCCATCTATGATGAACTGATGGAAAATTACTCTGATTACCTTCCACTACATGTGCAAAGACTACACCAGCTGGACTCAGAAAAGGTAATGGTACACACCAGCGGGACAAAAGGGAAATGGAGGAAGCTCTGTCAGCATGAAATACTGGGAGAATTACAAGTGTTTTATTCTGGGCAGAAGTTGGAGTCTGAATTATGCAACCATCTTTGCTCACAGTCCTTTCTCCTGATCCTGTTTTTGTCAAGGAGCGTGTAAAACGTCTCAGAGAGGTGGGGTCGGCGGCAGACATCGTCATCTCACACATCGACCAAACAGCCTTGGCTGTTTACTTCACCATGAAGACAGACCCACGGCCGGAAGCTGCTTCTATCAAGACGTATGTCGCACTGAAAGACAACATTAATAGCTGAACAATGTTTGTTTATAAAGGATTCTGTATCATAATGAAGCATGAACTCCTAAATACAGTGGTAGGGTTTCCCTCAGTAGTTTTTATGCGATCCTGACACATCTCCCCTCGTGATTAAAAAAAAAAAAGAATATTTGACAGCCAATATAATAGCAACAGTGATTGGAGTGGCGTTTTGTGAAAGAAGAAATAATGGACTCTGTCTCTTACAAAGGAAAAGTTGAATTTATGAGCAGCGAACACACCTGTACTCAGTGTCAGTCCGCACCAAAATTTATGTGGCATGATGTTAGCAAACGCTAGATAACTGCTGCATAACTGACATTTGTGAGTTATTTTGAAGACTATGTGACTCCTGTCTACATTTGTTACTACAATTTAGCATTAAGCAACATTGAGTAATTGCTACTTGTGACCGCAGTGGTAACTGTTCAGGAAAAGTCTTAGTCACATTTGAAACAGATTCTATTTTCTGTATGAATTCAAGCCCCTAATTTTAACTTGTCTTAAATTTGTGTTTCAGTGACATGGAGAAGCAGAAGTCATCTCTGCTGGATGCTCTGTGCAGGAAGGGCTGTGCTCTGGCTGACCAGCTCCTGCTGCCTCCTGCATCACAGGACGGCGCCAGTGCTGTTGCCACGGGACAAACAGCAGCAGAGGAGGTTGTGGAGCAGGTGGCCAGCAGCTCTGACGACACCCTGCAGAATGTAGCCAAAGCACTCACGGATGTGTTTTGGGAGGTGCAGAAGTGGGCGGAGCTAACTGACTCCAAGGTAAGGAAAACGTTGTCAGAAAATGAAGAAAACTAAGTTGATAGTAAGCTGTAAGCATGCTGATATATATATATATGGATGTTCCAGTCTGACAGTATTCTTTATATATGTTACTGTCAACAAATACCACAGAAACTGTGTTTGATCCCATTACTTTTCTAAATTTCCATCCTTATCTGTGACTGTCAGCCTCAGGCTCATTTGTTCCTGCTGAAGACAATTCTGGATAAAAAATGTTAAATATATCACTTTTTAAAGTTTTTATTATTATTATTATTATTATTATTATTATTATTATTGTTTATAATAATAAATACTGCTGAGAAATGTAGGTTTAAGTAAACTTTAATGAAGCAGGAGTAAATGGTTCATTTGTTGAGGGCTGTTGTCACCCACTGATTCATACACATTGGTTGCAGTAGATTTACATCTGCTGGATGGTTTAATGATTTTTCATCAGTTTAAAAAAAAAATTATAATCAGTTAAATGGACCATAATTTTTGATGGTCTATTTCTTGGATTTGGTAGATGGTTTGTATGTTGTAATAAAGCTCTCTGTTAGTTCAGTAAACCTTATATATGTTTGTTCTGTGTCTTTTCCTTTGTTCAGGTGTTGATGTTTTCATATAAGCATGCTCTGGTGAACAAGATGTATGGCCGAGCCTTAAAATATGCGTCAAAGATGGTGGAGGAGAAGCCCAGCAAAGAGAACATGAAGAACTGCATCCAGGTATGAGAACAACAATGGTTCATATCTGTTTGACATAATGTTAGATTTCTTTAGATATTTTTGACTCCTTACTTTGCAAAAGCTATGTCGCTTTTTCCATTGAAATCATCTCTTATTTCTTGTTTTGTTTTGTTTTTTTTAGCTCATGCGTCACCTCCGATGGACACACTGCGCTACCTTCAGTGAGAACTGGCTACCTGTCATGTACCCCACAGACTACACACCGTTCTAGACGCAAACAAACAAACACACACACACGTGCATGCATAGGCAGCATGGCGACACACGGTCCATTACGTGGTAACTTTGATATCATGTCCCTCAGGGTCACATGGTCTATGCATCTGACCAACCAGCTGCCTCCTGAGACTTTTTGTTGTTTTGTTTTGTTTTTCAAATACAAACGTGGGTGAACACCAAAATAAAGGATAGCACCGAGTTAAAATGGTTTATTGCACTTGACACCTTGTGAAGTGGAGGAGGTTTGTTCAGAGGTTACCTGTAAATGTCTTGCTGAGTGTCACAGCTCTCTGTCTCAGCTGTTCATTTGAATGTTGCCAACAGAAAAACAATAGTCAGTTAAAATGTTTAACGCTCTAAACTCACCGAGACTAGTTGACACTGTAGCGGTGGTGTCTTTGTTCGGTGTTGTCCTTTATTTTGTTGTCATCTACTAATTTGTAGGCTTTTACATCCACCCATGCTCAACTGTCCAGAATCCATATCATATAAATAACTGTAAATACTGTAAAAAAGGGCCAGTGTGGACTCCAGTGATGCATCCCAAGTCTTTAAAAAGTAACTGTGACCCCACTTATGAAAACGGCAGAAAACTCAAAGCTAGTCATTATGATACTGCAGTGAGAAGACAGGAGGACTGGCTGCTGCAAGATGTTCTGACATAGGAGGCCATGCCGAGTCTGCCTGATCCCTGAATTAAAAGGGACAGAACGTGATCTCCTTTTTCTTTCTTTTAAAAAAAAAAAAAATTCCCAGCCAGGCGGGGTTGATAAAGTTTAGTCTTGTCTGTCTCACGTCACAAAACAGTGTTGAGGTGCCTTTCTACATGTACCTTACATTTTCCGATGGGATGAAAAACAGCGCAAGGGTTTAGATCGCAGGAAGCTGCGCAGTCAGTTGTGTCCGGCAACAGTCTGGTTGACTGTTGACTTGCAGTCATTTCACCTATCGATCTTCGGTGTCGAATGTGGTTTCAAAGCTCAAAACCGGCAGCATGATGTGTCCGTGCACTGTATGCAGGCCGTCAGTGACTTGTTGGGTAACAGGAAGCCGCACTTTGTTGGCTCCCTCTTACTTCCAGAGGTGTTGGCCACCTGCTTCACGCTGCAGTTACCTGAGCGGCACGCTTGACGACCACCTAACAGACCTCACTAACATAATGATGCAGTTGTGGGCAGCAGTGAGATGTTCAGGTCAGATTTCACAGCCCAGTGTTCACACAGTATTAGAGATGTTTCTGTGCAGCATTCAGAATGTTGCACTTGTACACAGTGTCATAAAAAGAAAAAAATGTACATACACACGTAACATACAGAATATTAAGATGCAATAGGTATATAATACAAATATTATTCTAATTGATGTATTTTGCATATATGCATGTCTTCTAGGATGTAAGGAAAAATACTTTTATGTGGAAGCAGATTTTAGTTTGTTTCAATTTGAAAGATTTTTAATCTGAGGCGAGATACTGACAATAATCCACTGTTATTTTCATGGGTGTGTGTTTGTGAATGACTTTACATGTACTCGTGAGCATATTTTCTGTACGTGAACATTTTTCCCAACAGAAATGAAACATTTAGATGGGGGAGGGGTGGGTTCTTCAGATACCTTATTTGCTTTAGAGGACCGCGCAAGTGTTTTTGCCTGTTTTCACTCATTTAACACAAATCACATACACTTTACATCACAGCTATTGTTTAACGTGTTATGGGATTTTTTTTTTTTTTTTAATGACTGATCCATATGTGCAGGAAGCCATAATCATTGTTTCTTTTATGTGTTTGCAAGATCTCAGTTTAAATTTCTGGCCAATACCAAGTCTTGTCAACATGGCACCTATTATCACATTGAAAATCAACAGCCAAGTGTTTGATTCAAGAATCAGGTTTGTTGTTGTAGTTGCAGCTTGATCCTGAGAGAGCCGGTTTCAAAGGTCTGGTTACTTCCAGATTTCTTTCATTCTTAAACCTGTCAATCATGGTAACAGTTTTAGAATAGCAAAAGGCTGTATATAACTTTGTTCCATATGTTTTCTCATATGTGGCTATTTCCCAAAACCTGTGAAAAGGCTTTGATGTGTATAATCTGTGGTGTTTTCCCTGTATTTCTAGTTTTTGGAAATTCATGAAAGACAATCGCTGTACAGAATCAAAGGTAAAATGTAAAGATAATGCATGGTTTGCAATTGAGGAGTTAAAACTTTCAAAAGCACCTGTTTGGTCCTATAAAGTACTTCACCTGACTCTTTAACAAATGGGGACGACATAATCAGTTTTTATCTTTTTTATATTCATGATTTTTCTCACTTTTAAATCGATAAAGCAAAAAGTGTGATTTTCTGTCTCATCTGTATCGTTATCAGTTTAACCAAAGAATGATTTTTAGTGTTAAGCTGGTTTAAGTGTCAGCAGAAGCGTGAGGGCATAACAAATTTGAATAGAAGAAGAAAATAGGTTCTTCTCCAAGGATGAGATATCAATGTGGCTCTAGTTATCAGTTTCATCTTACACTGGTGTTGTTTTAAGCCCTCTCACCAGTGGAAGGTCCATGCTCAAGAATGTAAAAGCAGCTGCTTTGCAAGCCTCCCGTCCTCATGGGAGTAAAGAGTCTTTTCTTGGAGTGAAACGGGGTGTCACAACTCGTGTTTACTCGGGGGTAAGAGCTCCCTGTGTTTCTCGTATCACTTTCGGTTGCAGCCCCAGCACAAGCCTCTCCAGGTGCGCAGGGGTTTGCTGGGATTAATCGAGTTTCGACAGAATTTGTGCACTTCTTTTGTTTTTTTCTTTTTCTTCCTCCTTGCTGTGTTTGGGTTTTTGTTCAGACAGATCTATCTCCAGTACACGTTGCCAATGACAGTCTCTCCGAAAATGGCCTTAACTTTCACCACGGGACTTTTGCCGTCCACTTCTGGCACCAAACAGACTTCTCATATCTGTCGCTCTCGCTCTGCTGGTGTCAGGAAAGACTTCAGAAATTGCTTCTTATGGATGTTGAGTGTTTATATTTATAGTCATAAAATCTAGTAAATGCCAATATTTTAAAGAATGTTGCGAGAATAAGGTTGTATGCTCTTAGTATTATTTTATACCCATTCTTCCACAGTGACGTGGGAAAGACCCAAACTGCTGTCACACTATTTTGTGGTCACATGGAATTAAGTCACAAACCAGAAACAGGACACTGAATAAAAATGATTTGGAAGAATTAAAGTGTTCACGGGTCGTCACTTGTACGTACGGCGGATAAGATTTTTAGGAGTCAACCCATCTGACTGCAATTTCTGTGCTTTGTTGTGTCTTGTAAAATAAATTGCACATTGTGTGTTGCAAGATAGTGACTGGTCAAGAACATGCTGAGACAAAGGGTTTTCTTTAAAGTTATTATTTATACCTGTGTGTAGATATAAAAATGTTAAAAAAAAAAAAAAAAATTCACATGCCAAAAATTGACAGACATTTCATAACGGACACAGACTCAGTGAGATACGGTTACATTAGATTTTTTTTTATATTTTCCCACAGTCCAATGTTTCTTGTTCAGATGGCTCATTTCATCCCACCAGCTGTATTTTATTTACTGTCATATATATATAGCAAAGAAAAACTTAAAATCCTCACATTTGAGAACCTGGAGCCACCAGAGGTTTATCATCTGTGCTTGACAGAAACAGCCTTCTATAAAAATTCATTTCCTGGTAATCAAATGATTCGCTGTTCAGTTGTGTACTGACATCATTCATATGACTCAAATAAACAACAAACAGTGAAGGATGACGAGCAGCCAAATGGCACATCACACTTAACTGCAGGATCCTTCCTTCGATTAAAATCATCTACACAGAAAGCCTAAATCTAGACAACAGCTAAACTAAAACTGGTTTTGTGCTGCCCTCCTTGGCGCTGGAACCTATCCCAGCTGACTTAGGACAAAGGCAGGAAACACCCTGGACAGGTCACCAGTCTATCACAGGGCTACACTTAGAGACAGACAACCAAGCACACTCACATTCACACCTACGGACAATTTAGAATCACCAATTAACCTCAGCATGTTTTTGGACTGTGTGGGAGGAAGCCAGAGAGCCCAGAGAGAACCCACGCTGCACGGGGAGAACATGCAAACACCACGCAGAAAGATCCCGGTGTCCTCTCTGCAAAACATTTTTCAAAAAAAACATCTTCAATGCAGGTAGCATATCTATTAAGCAGAACTTCTCTACTGTCAGATATTAATTGCTCTAACCCTATTCAGGACTTTTGGGGTCTTTTGGACCCCAGGTCATTTGGTTTAGGTGACGGGTATTGTTTTTTATTTTTGAAGATTTTTTTTAAGTAAAAAAGAGGGACATTTGTCATGCATTTAGAACCAAAAATACACCAACTTATCAGAACATTGATTTAACATAGTAAATAAGTCTTTAATGAATACCAACTAATATTTTGCACATATTCTTTCTTGGAGTCCAATGGACCCCGGAAGACCTTCTATATATGGCAACATGAAAGTCCTGAATAGGGTTAAAAATGTTTTCTGTCTCCTACATTCGCAACTGCCCGAACCTGTCCACCTTCAAATCACTCACCAAAACTCATCTCTACAAAAATACTTTTAATGTGTGATTGTTTCTAAATGCACTTAATGCTTTTTGCTTTCTGCCGTTGTTTTTTTTTTTGCATGTTGTTTTTATTTCTTGTTGTTTTTATTCACTGTGCAGCGTCTTTAAGCGTTTGGAAAATCGCTTTATAAACAAAATGTATTATTGCTGTTATTATTACTTTCTGCACGTTGCCATGAAGATCTTCATCTCTTCGTCTTCAGCCAGTAGACTCGTGTGAAAGGCCTTTTTAAAGTTATCAGTGAAAGTCAGATCAGTCACAAACCTTACTCTGTTGGCCCAGATAATAGTGGTTCCTGGTTTGCAGAAATGCTTCATGGTGGCCAGGAGCTCATCCAGGAAGTCATGATGGTAGACCACATCAGCAGCCAGCACGTAGTCGTACCTGTAGACAGATGAAGGGTGGGTGCTCTCCAAGTCGTAGCCCCAGGACAGAGTTGCCACCTGGGGAGTGTATCTGCAGCCCTTGGTGTTCCTCATCACGTTGGCCCGGAGGTTACTCAGCACGTCTGGTAAGTCTGTAGCTGTGACTGAAGCTCCTTTGGATGCAGAAATACGACGGTGGTCACCACCAACACTACAGTAGGACAGTTAGCCTGTGGGGCCCCTTTTGCAACTTTTACTCCCACAAAATGGCATAATGTTACTGCTGCAGCTAATGACCAGACCCTAATGTATGACTCTCTTTTGTAGTGTTTGATATGTATGCAGATTGGGATGCGTGGTCCCCTAAACAGGACTGTATCTTTTGGATCCTGACTGGAGCAGCTCCCAAATCCAGTAGATGCATAAGGGGACTAGAGGGATGCAAAAACCTGCTCAGCTCGACCTACAGGGCAGCTGTACGGGGACTGGTTTAGACACAGACACTTAACCTGATCTGCACACACACATCCATCCATCCATTATCTATACACTGCTTAATCCTCACTAGGGTCGTGGGGAGCTGAGGCCTATCCCAGCTGACTTAGGGTGAAGGCAGGGGACACCCTGGACAGGTCGCCAGTCTATCGCAGGGCCACACTTAGAGACAAACAACCAAGGACACTCACATTCACACTTACGGACAATTTAGAATCACCAATTAACCTCAGCATGTTTTTGGACTGTGGGAGGAAGCCGGAGAACCCGGAGAGAACCCACGCTGCACGGGGAGAACATGCAAACTCCACGCAGAAAGATTCCAGTGCCCCCACCGGGACGCGAACTGGCAACCTTCTTGCTGCGAGGCAACAGTGGTCACCAACTGCGCCACCCTGCAACCCTTGCACACACACAGTATTCCTTTAATTAGCAGCATTGGGGCACTGTTTGACAGTCCTTTGGGTTTCAGGTAAGGTATGCTTTAGCAGTGAGGATTTCTTTTAGGCGACGCATTGGAACTCTTATACTGAAAGTCCTTTTTGGGTTACAATAATTTCTTGAAATTCTCACATGTCCTCAGAATGTGTATTTCAATTACTCAGTTCAAAATACTGCAAAGATTCCTCAGTTTACCATGACTATGTAACTCCTGGTTGTAGCCTTGTTCTGAACAGGCTGCATTTGCTTTAAATAAAGCTGAGCTGCTGCTGTCCACGCCAATTTCAGGAAGAATACTCTCTCTGCATCTGTGATGGACAGCACAGAGCAAAACAGTCGACTGCAAGGCTAGCATAGTTGAGGGAGAACTTCCTATTGTCCCACCTTTTTTACACCTACGCGTTTATAAGATGCAAAACACAATAACAGTGGATTTTCACCATGTAGGACTCAAACATCGTAGACAACATTGTAGTTTGCCTCACTCAGCTTAGTTTCGTCAAGTGCTAAACTTCCTTTATTAACCGAGTAGGGTTGTAACACATCGATTAGACAGAAAAGGTTTCTGTCATTTTCTATATGATCAGAAATTGTGAGAATCATTCGCTATCCGAAGAGAAACAACTAAATCTAAAATGTATTGATAATATGCATTGGAAAATAAACAAAATAACTGATATTTCAAATTGGATATATGGCATGTTTGACTGTTATTTTTTATATTTTATATTTATATTTGCATCCTCTATTTTTTGGTTTCTTTTTTCTATGTTATTGTTGCACTAACCAACCAGAACAAATTCCTCATATTGTGTAAACTATACCTGGCAATAAACCTGTTTCTGATTCTGATTCTGACATTTTTAACATCCACTCACGTGCCGCATATTAGCACTTCCTTTTTTCACTATATTTAGTATATGTGTTGGCAGTAAAGGCCCTTTGTGCCCTACTTTGTGGTCCGTGCCATGATAACTGCTCACCCAGCAGACTGGCCACGATGGTCACCAGTCCTGTTCCTGCTCCAAGCTCCAGCACCGTCCTCCCCTGCAGGTCCACTAAGTGTCTGTTGTTATCCAGGAAGGAGCATAAAGCCAACGCCTGCAGGCCAGACAAAAAGAAAAGATAGTCAGGTGAGGTTTTGCAACATTTGATCATTTTTAAAAAGTATTTGCTCTCAGAAACACTCACAGCTGGCCACATCACTGCTCCGTAGGAGTCTATGGATTCAGAAATTGCAATCTCCTGCCCTACGTAATGATAGATGTCTCTACCAAAGCTGCTGATGTGGGTGGGAGTCCAGTCCAGCGGTACAGTTGTGTGTTTCATGGACTCCTGTCCTGTGGAAAGAAACAGAAATGAGCTGCAACTCAGTCAACCACAGTAAAGAAAACAAAATATGAGATGTCATACAGTTACATTTCCCATTGTAGGATCAAACATGCTTAACTTTAAAGGTAAATAAATTAGTAGTTAAACACAGAGGTGAGAAGTAACAAAGTACAAATACTTCATTACTGTACTTAAGTAGATTTTGCAGGTATCTGTACATTACTTGAGTGTTAATTTTTCTGACGACTTTTTACTTTTACTCCCTACATTTGAACACAAATATCTGTACTTTCTACTCCTTACACTCTCAAAACTGGCTCGTTACTTGTTTCAACCTCTGCGGATGACGACATGACGTAAAAGATGTAACAACAAACATCTTTATCTTTTCCAGCAGTGTGCAATTTGTCACTGAAGCTCAGCGCAGCCCTGCCTGCCTCAGCTGCCTGCGAGAGGCTTTTTAGCACTGCGGGACTGATTTTCAGACCCAAAAGGGCATGTCTTCCTTCTAAGAACTTTGAGAACCAGTTTCTACTGAGGCTCAATAAAAGATTTTGGTTGTCTTGAAGAGATAAGTGTTTCCATGTTGATTATGATGTTTAATGTTAATAATGTTGCTGAAAGGGAAAACTGTCCAGTGATGTTTTTCTCTGTACCAGCACTGTGCAGGTTCTTAAAGGATGAAAATAATCCTATTTTGTCTGCTTAAAACTTTTTTTCATTTTGCAAAGTTATCAAAAGAGGCATTGCATATTATTGAAGCTAAATATTCATTTTTACTTTTTACTTTGTACTTAAGAAAATTTCTGAACCTGTACTTTGTTACTTTGTTTGTTGTTGAGTATTTTTGCCATCTGTAGTTAAACATCAGTACAGGTAAAAATGTGGCATCGTTGGACCAAATATTCTCATATGTGGACCAAATATTCTCACTGCAATGAAAAAAATATGACTGTCTCTTGTCCTTCAGTTTAATTCAGTTCAGAAGCTCTACACCAATGGGCGCAATGCATCAGCCATCTGGTTTCAGTGAAAGTTTGAAACAATTTTGGCTTCACCACCTTTTGGCCTTGACATGCGTGTCTCATATGTCGCATCTCAGATTTAGTCATCCCACTAGTTTTGCCAGTGCCATTTAAAGTCATGAAGCTGTTATTTCACTTAAGAGACCAACCACAAGACAGCACGGACAGCTGAAACTGACCGATTTAAAGACTGCAAGAAAACAATTGCTGTGCCAGTTAGTTCCCCTAAATGTATTTTGCTGTCGCTTAGTGGTTAATTGAATTTCCCTTCTGGGATAAATAAAGTATTTTTCATTTCATTTCATTTCATTTTATTATCTTGTTATGCAAATAGTAATGGGAGGTTGGCAAGGTTTTCGGGCAGCTGCCTTTAGATTTTTAAGCACAACATTTACACAATGGAAATTCATTTTGCCAGTGTTGTCTAAATACTAAAAACGCAACTATGAATCTGCCTTCATGCTTCTGCTTCTGTGAGGCTTAGTTATAGTGCTGCTTTGAACTAACTTCTAATATCAACATGCTGCATGGCATCACTGAAAATGTAGACATATTGTGACATAATGTAACGTTAAGCAGTTATAATGTTCACTGTCTTAGTTTAGCATTTGCATGCTAATATTTGCCATCTAGCAATACACTCAATTTTTAGTTGAGACCAATGTAAATCTTATCAATTTTGTAGAAATGACGTGAACAAAGTGTTGGATGAATTTACAATTTTGATCTTGATGCATCTTTGAAGTATTTCCAAAAGTGAGTGGAAATTATTTTTGTGCCAGATTTTCTGAGATTTCATCCAGCACTTGTTGATACAGTTCACCTGTGGAGGGTTCATCATCTGGGAACCATGAACGTTTGTACAAAATGTCATGCCAATAGTTGTTGGGATCACAGATTGTATACAGTCTGTGTAGAGGATCAACACACTGACATCCAAAGAGTCTTGAAAAATAAATAAAAATTCAACATCAATAACTTGTTATAATTAGTTTCCTTGTTTCTATGAATATTTTTCATTACAACTACTTTGAATTAAAGAAGTAGTTCCTATGACATCTCAAAAACTCTCTTCATGTCTGTTTAATTTGAAGCAAAGTAAAGAAAATGTCTTTTTGGGGGCATATTGGGTGAATTAACCCTTTAAGTAGAAGCAAATTGGACTTTTATGCTTGCAATAGGCAGACGCAAATACATGTGTTGATTCACAAATGTGCATCTTTGCTGTTAAATGGAGGATCACCTGCTATGTCTTCTTGTCCTGAATCTGTGTCCTCTGGTTCATCCTCATCCTCTTCATAGTCATCATTTCTGAGGGCCACCATCTTCTCCATTTCTTCCTTTTTATCCCTTTTTTCAGCCTCTAACATGTCAGACTCCCGTGTTATGCCGCTATTATTTTCTTTTCCTTCACATTTTTGTTCACAGTCGAGCTCAGCCTTGTTGTGTTGTTGCTCCACACGCCTTTCTTCACTCCTTTCATCCTCAGAATCACCACTCTTTTCTTCCTCCTCCTTTCTCAGGAGATCCTGGATTCCTAAGCCTGCATCATCTTCTCTCTCTTCTTCTCTGCATGTTGCCATGAAGATCTTCATCTCTCCATCTTCAGCCAGTAGACTCGTGTGAAAGGCCTTTTTAAAGTTCTCAGTGAAAGTCAGATCAGTCATAAACCTAATCTTGTTGGCCCAGATAATAGTGGTTCCTGGTTTGCAGAAATGCTTCATGGTGGCCAGGAGCTCGTCCAGGAAGTCATGATGGTAGACCACATCAGCAGCCAGCACGTAGTCGTACCTGTAGACAGATGAAGGGTGGGTGCTCTCCAGGTTGTAGCCCCAGGACAGAGCTGCCACCTGGGGAGTGTGTCTGCAGAGGTTCCTGGTGTTTCTGCACAGGTTGACTCTCAGGTTGTTTAGATACTCTGGGAGGTCTGTGGCTGTGACCCAGGCACCTGAGGACAGTGGGAAAAACTGTTATAACCTTGCAGGTTTGTATTTAAACACAGGTTTGTCTCCTCGTACATACCGAGGAGTGATGCTACAACAGACACCAGCCCAGTTCCTGCTCCGATCTCCAGGACTGTTTTGTCCACAAGACTTGGCTGTTTACGGTGAGTGTCGAGGTAGTGACAGAGGGCCGAAGCCTGAGGACAACCAAGAGTATTGTTACAGTGAGTGTATACACCCAGCACTGTGACATTTAGTCACTGTTATCTTTATGGTGAAGATTAAGGTTTGTAATGTCTCAGTTGCTTGTACTTCAGATGTGAGGAGCTCAATGAAGATAAATAGCCATGTCAGCCATTCATCATCATGTCTAAAGTAAAAATCTGCGAGGACTCAAAATTTTAAAATCTATAAAGAAGACCTCCTAAAATAGCAGTTAAACTAATTGCAGACAAATATATACTACTACTATAAAAATGTGAAATACTGCAATGCATTTTAAACACAGGCCATTATTACATATAATTTTTAATTGATTACAGCCACTTTTTTGTATTTTTTTCTAAAGTCTAGTTTTATTTATCAATACCAATTGTTTTTGTTGCCATTATATTTCATAGTGACACTTCTCATGATGAAATTAGAGTACAGTTATTCATATAATTGACTCTCCTCTCACACAGAGTGAGGCACAAGCAGATTTCATTGCATTAACTATTCCAAATGGTTTGCCTGTCATTATATGTTATACTAATTTAATGTCATATATATATATATATATATACAGCAGTTCAGATTCTTATTAGTCACACATTACTATCAGTCAGATGTTTGATGGGTCCCAAATTCAATCTGCAACAACCCCAAACATACATTCAAAGTCATGAAGAACTATATTTAGCAATATGGAGAACAAGCAGTCCTGCAACACATCATATGGCCCCCACACAGCCCTGATCTCATCATTATGGAATCAGTTTGAGATTACATATGGAGACACTCAAAGACAATAAATCTACAGAAGAACTGTGGCAAGTTTTCTAAGATGCTTGGAAAAATCTATCTGCCAAGTATCTGAAATACTATCTGTGTAGATTCTCAGTCATACAGGTCATGGTAATCCTAAGAGCTGTAGTGAAAGGCAAATGGACCTCTATTTTTGGTCCTTGATGTTTCATGATGCTCCGTATCTCATCCAAGAGGCTTTTTCAGTTCAACCTGATGCCTACCACCCGCTGGAGCATAAGCAGGGTGTTATCAGAACCTTACAGCACTGGTTGAGAATTCTTGCTGGTGACTACTGCTTTTTTTCTGAGGTTTTGGCTTTTTCTTTGATGGCTATTCTAACTTGGTCTGTTCCAGAAAAACAAGGCAACATTGACCAGGGAAGAAAAGAGCAACAAGCGGAATAACATTGTCGTTCCCTATGTAGCTGGACTGTCTGAGAAATTTTGAAGGATTTTCCCCAGACACAATGAACTGCACATCAAACCCAACAACACTCTAAGACAAATCTGGTTCACCCTTAGGACAAAACAGGCAAACACAAGCTGAGCAACGCTGTATACTTCAATGCAGTAAGGAGTGCACAAACTTGTATGTAGGGGAGACTAAAGAACTGCTCAGGACAGGAAAGCAGCTCATCAGAACAAAACTCAGCAGTCCACCTGAATCCAAAGGATAACGGACACTCTTTTGAGGACAGCAATGTTCACATTATGGACAGACAGTTTGAGAGGAGTGAAGGAAGCCATCTATATTAAATCGGAACAGCAACATCTCATTAGAGATGGGATCTATGACACCAATTATCGGGTACATATAATGCAGTCTTGAGATCTCTCCTGAGAAAGTTTCCCCACCACTAACATCATGACTCATCCCTCATCTGGTAGTTTCAGAACAATTCACACCTCGAGGCATGTGAGTCTTGGTACCCCTGGGGTTTGGGGGATACAAGACATAGCTGGGACTCCCCATGAGTCAGTTAGAACTGGAGAAACCTCTTGGAGAGCCAAAAAGAAAAGTCCAGTTGCCCTTTACTGATGATCTCAGCATTACCTAAAATACTGAATGCATGAAGTTAACTGATAAACTAAAAATACTCATGGGATTATTTTTGAAAGCTTCCTCACTTTACGCTCAGAGCCTAAAACCTTTCCAGTACTGCATGTGGAGTTAAAATGGAAGTTCATTGCAATCAGGAACCACTGTCTTTTTCCTGAGCTTTCGACTCATAACCTCCATCTGCTGATTGGAGTTTGCTGAGTTGTCATGACATGATTTCATCCCTGACTTCACTTTTCAGATTCCTCAGCAGTGTTGGCTCAAAAATTAAACAAAAGAAATACAAATCGTGGCTTGCTTAAAATGTTATAACAGCTACTGAGCTCATATGTCAACTCCATCTAACGGGATGACAAAGACCATGTAATGTGGTTGAAAGCTTATATTTGTCAAAATATTGTAAAAATGCTGGTCAATGTATGTAGCAAGCTGTCTGATATGATAAAGAAAGTGTCATTATATAGCTTTGAGTTTTCAGAGGTCTTGTTTGCATTAGTAAACAGAGAAGTCCTTCAAAGTAAAAGAGTACTGACACTTTCCTGGTGCACAGGTCCTTTCCTGAATATTTTGCAAAAATTAATAGATAGAAAGTTTCAAATCTCAGAAACAGTGCTACTCACCGCTGGCCAAATCATGCCTGCAAACGAGTCAAGACCCTCTTCGATCATGATCTCCTGGCCGACATAGTTGTACACCTCTTTACCCACTCTGTAGTAGAAACATGGAGCCCAGGCTGGAGTTTGTTGCTTCACGGCAGCTGAATCCTCTGTTTCTGTATCATTTGAAACATATACATGTCAGATGTGTACAATCAGAGTCAAACGTGGAACTGCAATAGTTCGTCTTACCCTTTTCCTCCTCTTCATCTTCGTCTTCTTCACTCCTGTCAACCTCCTCCTCCTCCTCCTCCTCCTCTTCATCCATCATTAAAGTTTCCTCCAAAAGGCATTTATACAGAGTATCCATACTAAATGCTCTATAATGTTGGACAGGCAGATATTTGCAATTAAAATGGGTGGAGAAAAAAAGGAAGAAAGAAAAAAAGAAAAACTGTGTTAAGTGCATTAAAAATTAAAATTCATTTATAGATTCTTTTGCTAAATCATTATTAAAGCAAGAATACAGGAATAGAAAGGAGGCATATAGGATTATATACTATATAAGATGTTCTATTCATTTATTTTGATATTTTGTAACTTCCTACTGTGATTTCAGCTTTTTCTCTCCACAGTGTTGTTCTGTTATATTTCCTTGTTTGCATGCATTTTTCCATAAAGGTAGCACAATAAAAACATGCACAAACTCACGTAAAGAATATGTAAAGATTGCATATTTCCAAAATCTATATTGTCATTATTTGGTTAAAAATTCAGTTTACAAGCACTTCCCTCCTTATTTTAGCAGATATAGTAAAAACTTCAAGTTCAGACTCACCACATGTGACCTTTGATCCACCTGCTGCTGCTTTACTTTTCAGTAAAAGATCTCGACAGCGATCTAACTTCATCTGGCGACCTCCGGCTGCGAGGTTATAGAGACTCAGCATCCTGCTGGACACACCCATCATCATCACAAGGGCATGAGGGTATTTTTAGAGCCTGTTCCCCTGAGAAATAAACACAAGCAAGATATGGGAGCACAGCGCACGTAGGTACCAACACGCACAACAAAGATGAGTCGTGGACAGAGCCAGAAGGAGAGAGAGAGAATGACGGGAATCTTATGATATCAACAGCTATGCATCTTTGCTTCCAGTTGTTGCTTATGGACTTCTGTGCTGGTTGCTTTGCAGAAGCCTACACGGTCTGTAACCTCCTACTGGATATGATATGAAATCATGCTTGCATAAACTTGATTTTGAAGTAATTCTGCTGCAACAATCTTGAACTGTTCATGATTTGGACACGACTGTGGGTTGAAATGAGTCCACATGTTGCACATTATGCTGGTAATGCATCAGTTATCCTTAGTAGTCTACAAATAGTCTGGGGACTGTACAGGGAAACGGAGGGATATAAGCCGGATTGAAATGCAGGCCGGTATATGATTTGTGTTTGGCCTGAAAGCCTCTTGGCAGAGAGCTGCTGGATGTGAGCGTTAAACAGTTTAAAACCTAAAAGCCTCACTGGCTTCAAAACACTTATGAAGTAGTTATTGCCTGTATATGTGCATTTAGTAAAACATTTATACCACAAGCTAATTGTGTGATTGTGCATCACAAAGCTTTTATTAAATGCTTAAAATAGGAGATTAAGGGCAAGTGTCACCTTGATTTTAATCACTATTAAGCAAGTGCCACTTCTTCTGCAATTCTTGAGAGGAGAGCCCATCAAAAGTCTATTTACAAATGACTCACTCAGTCTGGAACGTGTCTGTGTTGTGCTTACTTGCTCTCTTTTCCTGCAATGACCTCGATTGCTTTACCAGAAATGGGAAGTAACAGGATCGTGCCAGCATGCAGCCCCCGTGTATCAAGCCCCTGTGAAAAGAAGGGAGCTACAGTAACATAAAACTCAATTAGACCTCTCTCAGTTACATTTCAGCAGCCTCCAACCATGAAGTATCAGCCCCCAGTTTCAGGTATCGTCAATCTAAATTCACTCACATCACAAACCTTGAAATCCATCCAGGACCCCAAGGTGCCTTGACACGTTAATGAGGAACAAGCAGTGGTTAGGTCATTGTGGTCAGCTGTGCTTCTGATGTGAAGTGGCCTTATTTGGAGAAAAAGCTGGGAGTTTTTAAGCCTGATGACAGGTAGCATATTAGCAGTGTCTCTCAGTGGAAGGTTATTTGTCATTACGAAGCTGTTGAAAGAGCGACCAAGTTAGCTGATACTTCTCCAAAGCCACAGACAACTTTCAGCTGTTGAGGATTTGTTTGTCTTGACAATGGTGGTGACATTCACTTTGGTATCCTCTCTTGTTCCTCTTTAATCCAGCTTTTCACGGCTCCTCTCATTCTGTAGCCAAACAACACATATCCTCCACGCAAGCAAACAGACGAGGAAGGATGAGACAGAAAATGACCCTGAAAATGTTGAATCATAAATTAGATATCAGATTTAATAGGTCACATTAATAGCAAGTAACTCTAACTTACTCCTTCCAAGATAATCAAAATAACTGGTGAGCTTCCAAAACATGAGACCTTTGTGTGGGACACCAGTGTTCGTGTTACTGAATATGGATGTGACCTCCTTAGAATGTTTTGCTGGTGAAATGTTCCTTAAGGAAGTTTTATCTAAGTGTAAATAAAAATAGCAACAACAATAAGTTATATGTTACAAAGAAGGTATGTGTTTAAAGAATTTGTTGTGGTTAAAGTTTTAAATATGCAGTTTGATTATTATCTTTATGCACTGGTAAATTTGGTTTAGACTATCTTGCTATAATGTTTGGGCTCATCATGCATGCCACAACTTGTAAGCATAATAAACATTGACTTACGGTTTAGTTAAAGCACACCTTTTTGTGCTTTTATATTGTGTTGCTGTCTCAGCTATTAAATGCTTTAATAAAATAAAATTTAAAAAACATAATTTAATAGCCTAGTCTATTTTCAAGCAGTCATCTTGTTAAGCTTTAATGTTAAACCTGCAGTAACTGCTTGTTTTGGGCACTTAGGGACAGTGGGTGAACTACATTGACTTAACATCACTATTTAAGTTGACAACTCATAAACAGATGCTATATACATCCAGCAGCTGCTGAGCAACAACATCATTCACATTAGTCATGTAAACACAATATTTACCTTCTTTTTTGCTCCATATTTGGCTTTTTTATCAGCTACATACTCCACTATGTTCACCAGCTAACTGTGGTTTCCTGCTGTCAACTGATGGACAAGTAGTCCACAGAGGATTTTTAGAGATTTTAGGTTGAAAATGACATCATGAGAACAGTCAGAGTGAACCAGAATGGCAAAGTTGCTGAAACTGAATGATCGGCTGAAACTCAACACAAAGATTCGTAACAGTGACTCAAGTGATAATTCTCTGGAGCTGAAGGTTCATGACAATGACAGTGACACTGCTTTCACATTGTTATTTGATACATTATATGAATATCAATTATGGCAGCTTAAAGAAATCAGAAAATGAAAATCTTTAGATGTATGAAAAATTGCAAAATGTGGCAGTTTTTAAACAATTACCATAAACTGTAAAGTCTGGCATGAGGGTCGCACTTCTGTTGTCATCGTCCCCTGAGGATTTATCGTAAGAGAACCAGCCTGATTGTAACTTTATAGGCAAGCCTTTCAAAACTGACTGCGATACTGACACAAATGTTTCTTCAGTCTCAGTGCTGAAACTGGCACTTCTGGCTGTAATAAAACCTGAACGTGTTGAACATGTGAAGTCACACAGCAACAGACTTATTTAAAATCTACTCTGTCATCAGAAATCCAGTGGAAAAATCCAGAGCCACATTTGACCACATTATAGTGTTGTGAGCGCACTCAACCAAAAACAACAAAGTGAGCCAAGAGCTCAAGTGAGCATGTTGTTGATGGATGACATCCAATTAGGAAGAAAAAACACAGAACATGACCCTCCAGTGGTGATTCTTGACTATTTTACATATTTGGCCTGATTGTCAAGTCACTGACACACAAACACACAACAAATATGCAGAATTCTCAGTGTGTTCAGCAGTTCAGGCAGCAGCCTCTATTTGGTCTTTTGTCCACTTGTCCTTCCTCCAGGCCCGGTACAATTTGATACTCAGACTAGGGAGGTCATACAGCTCCTCCACGTGGAAATGCTGCCGGAAGCGATCCACAAAGCTGTTTTCTGGGTCCAAGCGGAAACGCATGGCCCAAAGGATCTGAGTGTTTTCCTGGCACAGGTGGTCAAAGGTGTCCATCAGCTCTTTCAGGTAAGGGTGAGCGTACACCACGTCAGCTGCCAGTATGTAGTCGAAACAATGTGTGGCCCGAGGGAAACGCTGATGCACCTCCTGACCCCAGATAAGCTCAGTGACCTGGAAACAGAGATAAGCATTAAACCAATAAATCACATCCAGAAGTGACACATTCTTAAGGTGTTTTATTTTTTTGTTTTTTTTGTAGAACACAACGGATTTTGCATGTTTTTCCAGTCATTGATTATATTCCATTTGTTATCAAACCTGTAGTTTGAAATATAAAACCTACCAGAGGGATGTACTTGCATCGGTCCTTGGTGTTGCGCAATACATTGTACTGGAGGTTCCCCAACACATCTGGGAGGTCAGTGGAGGTCACCTTAGCACCTGGAGAGAGAGACAGTGCAGCTGAGCTTATGATTAAATGAGATATAAACAGCAAAAAGAAAATAATTAACAGATAAAAATCAAAGTTAATCACTGGATTATTTAGTTTTAGTACCTAACAGGCTGGACACAATGGTGACGAGTCCAGTTCCAGCTCCCAGTTCGATAACATTTTTGTCAATCAGGTTGTATTTGTCTCGGTTGGTCTCTAAGAAATGACACAGCACAATTGCCTGTTTGGGGGATATAAGTTTGTAGTTCAGTGACAGGGCTCACAATTAAGAAGATGCACTGCAGCTGAATATTAAAAATGGAATTTAGACACACTGAAGGCCAGAGCACAGCTCCATAGAGGTCTGTGGACTCTTTGATGCGGATCTCCATATCAGAAAAGATGTATCCCTCCCAGGTCTCCGTGCCGATGAGAGACGGGGAGAAACGCCGAGCCATTATGGCCTTGGCTAGCTCTGCATCCACAGCAGCGCCTGCATCCACAGGACAGACAGACAGACAGTGTATTAAAACAAAAATCCACTTTTATTTTATTTTCTTTTTTTTAAGTGTGATGTTGCATATTGAGCAAGTAAAATGCAGAACCTATAATACCAAGAAGTGTAATTAATCACAACAATGGTTCAGTTTTATATAGGAAAGCCACTTACAATCCCTAGGAGGCACGTCTAAATGGCAATAAGCTGTAAATAATGTTATCAGCACCTGTCACTTTTTTGTGATGACAAGTTTTGCTGTGAAAAACTTTGTTAAGACCCAATAAACATCATTTACCAAAATGACTCACAGTGTCATGGTCTCCAGCAAATAATAGTTTTGTCAAAGATTGGAATGTTTTTTTCTGGTATTTTCTGAGATTCTGTGTTTGTTGGTGAAAGTCAACTATTTCTCTTTGCCACGCCCAGATTTTTTGCAGAATGAGATTTCTCCCTGCCTCATTATTTTAAGACCTTTCTCACTGATGCTGCAGCAACATAAACAGCACCTTCCTCTAACCCTTGATTGTCTTGTTTTACTTTAAAAAGCCATTGATTTGATGCAGTTGGTTGTCATCTGACCTCCATTTATTTATACTTATTCTAGTTTTAAGCACTAATTATATAATTCACTGCCTAAATGGTCACTATTTAAAAAAAAAAAAAAAAAAAGATATAATAAAAAAGAAACTCCTAAATCATGCTGAATCCTAAATCATTTTGAAAAAGATGTTTGTGGCACTGAGCAGTGCCGTAAACATTTTTACCAACTCTGATTTAAAGACAGTTGCTTCATTTGCGCTAGAACTACAATAGTTCCAATGAGATGTCACAGTTCACAATGAAGTCCGTGAATCATCCAGATTAGCAGGGATGTTGAATCTGTCAACTCTTTTTTCTAATGCAAATGTTCAATGTAAGCATCAACCAAAATGTAATGTCTCTCCATTGTAGAAGAGCAAAAGCAGAAATCTCATGAATATCTTTTTTTTTTGTAATTAGGTGAATGAGTCCTTTAACAATCCAACACGCTGTGGTCTCACAGTGGGTCAAAGGGAAATTGTATTTTTTATGAGAAAATATCAAACAGCAACAACAGGCTAGCATTGCAGGTGTTTCATTGATCTTTCAAATGGCACTAAAGTCCTCCGGTCTTCATTTAAACAGATGAGTAATCGTACTGTTTTTCTTTCATATCACATTACAGGTTACATTTGATTCTGTGCGCTATAAATTCAGGCTCATAATGCCTCTCTGATCCTGCTGTGTTTTGTAACTCCAGCCTTGTGTCACTCAGCGCTGATGGCTGTGCCACAACTTCAGTTATGTAATGCCAGTTTGGAGAAAAGGTCAGGGGAGCCCACAGAACGACAACGCAAAGGTTGACTGAGGTCAGGAAGCTCAATTCCTAGCTTTTTTCTCAGTTTGTCACTAATTAACAGATGTATGCAGAATAGAAATACTTCAAAACAGACATTTCTTACAAGATTTCATTCATTCTCAGCTGATGAACAAGATTTACAAACTTATGCATGCATACTACTTAGTAAAGCTACTGTCATACTAGCTAATGCAACTGAATTTTCTGTTTTGCATTACTCCAAATTCTCACCTTTATCTTCGGTCTTGGAGTCGTCCATTCCCTTAGACGGCTGAGCCTCCATGTCTGAAGGAGTCCAAGCACAAAGGCAAGGACACCCAAGTCGGGAGATCTAAATCAGCACACTGCGGTTCTTGGTTTGTGGTCCAGAATGAAGTCCTATAAATTTAGGTCATCGTAGATCCTGATCTCTGGCAAGCTGTGAACGGTCACCTTCTGTGGTTTTAAGTTACACGAGTTTTCCCAACTTCTTGTGCAACAATCCCCCCACGAACCTCAAGTCCACCAACACATTTTTAGCTCTCGCTGGGCATGCCTAAAGCACCATCTAAAGCAGTAAGGCTGACTGACAGCAGCAGCTGCCATGCCAAGCAGCTGAGAGGGAGCTGGAGAAAGGAGGAGTGATAGGTTTTAAATTAAGCTTGTCAGAATGCAAAAATACCCACACTTGAAGTTAAAGCACAGATACCAAAATGATTTAGTATATGCAGAAGCTTAAACATGCTTGTGTTTTAGGCAGGGTATGTGTGAGTAGATGCAGATGTAAAAGATGAGTCCCTAAAAAGAAATTTAAGGGATGTATGGTGTTGAAGATTTGCACTTCTCTCAATTATGCTGTTGACAAATCAGCGCAACAAATGCCAAAAGATGAGAAAATGTACTTCAAAGATTTTATGAAAAATGCCATTTTATTTCATACGTATACCTCTGCACAGGAAAAAATATTTTCAATGACATCAATAGTTTACAAAATTCATGTTCTACATCATAGCAAAAGCTCAATTCATCAGTGAATCCCATAAATATCAAACATAATTTCACAGACATTTGAGGGTGCGTAACATGTTTTGCACTCAGTGTTACAATTTATGTTTATGTTAAGTCCTCACAACTTCTTCGCCCTGCCCCTTCCTCTCGTGCTTCCTCTTCCTCTTGTGCTTTTCGCTCCACGGCCTCGTCGGCTGCCCTCAAACACAGATCTGGCAGTAACCATAGCAACCTTCTGACCGCCATCGCTGTCCTCACTGGAGCTGCTGCTGCTGCTCCTGGTCCTCTGAGGTCGAGTCTTCGTAGACTGAGGTACAGTCTTTGCTGATATAGACTCCTGGCTGCTGTTGCAGCTGCTGATATCCTTGAGAGACTTAAAAGGAGATTCAAGGACTACCTCCGAACCTAGAAACCCTCCTCCTGCCATAACCCTCTCCTCTCCCTTATCTCCTTCTCCTTTCTTCAGATTCTCTTTCTTAGATTTGGAAGGGGAATGCATTTCTTCCTCACTGTCCTCGTCTTCCTCCTCTTCTCCTTCTCTCTCCTTTCTCTTCAGGCAGGTCACTGCTCGGCGGAGTCGCTGGCTGCGGATCGCCTGCTTTTCCTGTTGCTCCATGCGGAAGAATGAGTCTATACGCAGCTGAGTCTAAACCAAAACAGAGACAGACAAGATAGAAATGGTGCCAGAATATAAGGTGGTTTTATTTCCGCCATTACTGACTTTACTGACACACAATCAAGGTGGGGATATTCAAGAAAGTGCAACACAGAATAAGAAACGGGGATTCTAGTGTGCTTACAGGACTGAAGATATCTTAGGATAAGATAAAACTTTAATAATCTGGAAGGAAATTCTTTTGCCAGATATTGCTCAGAAAAGACTAAATGAGAAATCACAAGAAATGCAGTAGTTAGTAGAAAAGCAATGATATAGGTGCAATATATTACTGAAAATAAAATAAGCTAATAAGTACTATCACACATGATAGTGAAATATTGCACATTACATCCACATATTGTGCATGAAAGTAAAACTTTGAAACATGAAAATGAAATTTTACACTTGATACTGAAACTGATATTGCACAAACTATTGAGAAAAGTCATATTGCAAATGATATTGATATTATAGTTCAGATCCTAGTGCAGCTGTATTAGCTGTCATTTATTCATTCATATGACAGTATTGCAGCCTATACTGTTACTTCTTACAGCCTTGTTTACCAATGTGGTGGTTAGAAGCTGCTAATCAACACTATTAACAGCAGTAAAAAAATAAAATTAAAAAAAAAACAGACATTGTTTCAGGTGTTTGAAACACCTATTTATCCACTACTTTTAACGTGCAACCAATAAAGCATGCTTTTAACTCAGTGTCACAACATTTCTGCTCACTTCTTTATTTGTCACAACTGAGTGTGGGTTGATGGCCTGTATCCTGGTTATTGGAAACATGTCAAATTTTAGCGTAACACTATTTTGTAATCCAGTTTGGCTGTTCACTGTCCTGCTTAACACAAATATCTGGCCTTTTTTTTAAAAATTAAATTTAGATTTTTCTATTTTGAGAGGTTCCTCTTTGGATACAAGCATCCTTGTTGAAAATTTCTCAGTTACCTGCTGAGTGTTGAGCTGCTTGATCACAGGCTGAAGAGTCTCCTCTGTTTTCCGGCTGTTCCACCCAAAGCGACTCAGACAGAATGTAGAAGACTGGTTAAAGAAACTTTATAAACTTAAGAACAAACACAAATCCACGCATATTGAGGAAGGATATTCTTTGATCATGTCGAGCTGTGGGCGTCCCCAGCTAAAGGAGCTGTCCGACTGGTCGACAGCGGGTTGCAGATAAGCCTGAGCCACTGCGGGGTTGGGAAAACCGGGCTGCAGTTTCAGCTCCCTCAGTTTCTTCTTAACCTTTGAGTCCCGAGGATCAGCGACGAGACGCTTTTTCTCCTGAGCGTCTGACCACCAGTTACTACAGGGAAGACACAAAAACCAGACACTGATAAGCCTTTGGAAAACAAGTAAGAAATGCAATATTTAGTTAAAAATAGTCATTGTATGTGAAAAAATATTTTACTGTTAAATGTTTAAACTGTGGAGGTTCTGTAGATTGTTTAAAGTATAGGATTAATTAGGATAATGCCATATCAAGAAAACACTTTGACCAGGAAAGTATTTATCTATTAATCCCATAAAAATACAATATCAACAACCTCTATTAGCTACTATTTAAAAATGCACTGTTCCATCTCTTGACCAAATTAACCTAAAATGCTAAACAAACCCACACACCTGAACTGTGTTAGTGGCTCCAACCCCGGCCCTGGAAACTCATTGAGAATCTCCATGCCAGTCACATATCCAACCCCCGGCACGCCCTCCGTGTAGTCGCTTCCAAGCAGGTAGGCCAGATTTATCATTTTGGTCCTGTCCAGACCTGACAAAGTGAGAGAGGGGAGAGCACAAGAGGTGAGCTTACAGGTTGTCAGAAGGTGAAACTGACGAATGAGGAGAAGGAGAAAAACAGATTAGTCCTTGTGCAATTTGATTTTGCTGACAGGTTGTCAGCCATCACCAACACTGACACCTGTCTCTGACATGTGTGATATTCGTTTATAAGATTCCTGTTGTGATGTGTTATCCTAGCACTATTTCAGCACTTTGCTCTCCTGTTTCAGTGGACAAAATAACACCATCTGCAGCAGCGGCCATGTGAATGAGAATAAGGCTAAATAAATATATAGTCTGCAAACACCGTCAAGATTTTATATATATATATATAGGGAGAGAGAGAGCGAGAGAGAGAGAGAGAGAGAGAGCGAGAGAGAGAGAGAGAGAGAGAGAGAGATGTACGACAGTCTGCTGAGGCCACCAGAAAAGATATTTTTGCTGTAGTTTAGTGTGTTTCTACTTTCAACAGGAACTTGAGGAGTTACTAGTTTTTATTATAATTGATTAGACCTGAAGCAAAATAATTTTTAAAAATGCTGTATACTTTCTACATGTTTTTGCTACCAAAAGAGAGAAAATGTAATTCATGAAAAGTACATTTTCAACTTCACTGAACCTTCTAGAAACTAATGTAAAACCGAGACCAAAATTTTAAACGAGACCTGATTTTCGGCCAGATAAAATCAACCAGTCGTATTCAAACTCAGATGTTGGAGGTGCACTGACCCAGCTGGTTCTGCAGGTCGCTGTACTGGTAGTGTTCCACATATTTGTTCTGGCTGAAGAAGTTCTTGAAAACGTGTCGTCCTCCAAACAGCCACACGTCCGAGTCGTCTGTGATGGTCCCGTTCGTCTGGTCGGCGCGATCGAGTGCCGCACACTGAGCCTCGGCCTCCGTCGGTGCCACCATGAACGGCACGCCGAACAGCCGCAGAAGCTCCTGGTTTCAAACACTCTATTACTCACAAAGAAAATGTCGCACAACCCCCAACATATCATAGCTGATGATCTGTGCTTCCATCTGCTCCCAGCAAGGTTACACTGTTGTTACTTAGTGATTTTTTTAATAACTTTATTCAGATTTCTTAATGATACTGACACTATTTTACAGGGTTTTAAATACGTTTTGAACTGTCATCGCACAGTTATACACCTTTTATCTAAACAGGCTTTGGGGATTATCTACACACTACTGCAGTCATCTGAGAGATTCCTTCCCTCTTAGCAGATCATTATCAAACAGCTGATGAGATTAACAAACATCAGCCACTTTCAAGGTTTTATATCAGTGGTGACTTTATGAAGCCAAAATGCTGCGATTTTTGAGAGTGTGAGTGAACTGACCACCACATGCAGATGCTCGCACACAGCCTTGCAGATTCACAGGAAAGACTGTGAAGTAACATTGATGGAATGGTTCTGGGAATGTCTGGCAGAGGCACCTCAGGGAAATGTAACCCCCAATCAGTCTTGCACCTGCTCTGGGTTATCAGACCTCAGTCCAGTGACAGAGCCTCTGCATGTTGATTTTTAGTTTGTTGTTTCAGATACAAGCTCAAACATCAACGACAGCCTCTGTTGTTTAAGTGTGTTTGTATGTGTTGGTGTGATTTTATAGTGGTGATGAGTGATCCTTCACACGCTCTGTCCTCAGAGTATGAGTGGTTACCTTTTGGAAGAAGGCTCAGAGTCCCACGCTGCCGATTGAACAGATTTAAAAATTCATTTGTTCCGGCTCCATGTGGACTATGTTTTGGACTCATGAAATTAAACTATGATATTCATTTTTGTTCTGCTTTTACCTGATGTATGTATCTAGCTATTAACTGTGTTTTCCCTGTTTGTGTCTGCTTGTGTTGACTGCAACATGGGTGAAAAGCCAAATTTCCCACACCTGGGACAATAAAGTTAATCTTGAATCTTGGTATAGTCAGTTTACCTGGCTTTCCAGGTACATCTGCCCGGTGACTGTGTTCGCCATTCTCTCCTGCTGCTGTTTCTGCTCCCTCAGGTTGCTCTGCTCCACCCGTAGAGAGCTCTCTAGAGCCTCCAGCTCATCCTGAAGCACATCATCAACAACAACAAAAAAAACACACGGCATCAGCCCTGCCTCATACATGTTAACCTGTTGAACAGCTCTGTCTACAATGCAGGTGACGAGTTGAAACATGTCATTCAAAGATGTCTATGATTCCGATTTGCCATGTTGCAGCTCCCTGAAACATTACGTAAATGGTGACTCACACAGAAGAGTGGATTCTGGTTTTGTTTGTTGTTTTTTTTTTAACGGTAGCTTCCACTCATGTCAAGTTACCCTTAACTACAACTAGACTATCGAATCAGGAGGCCCATATTAACATACTGCAGATATACTGATATTTCTGTATGTGATCAAACAAGTAAGTAAATAATAAATGTGTCAGTGATATGTTAAAAGTAATGTACTATTTATAGTTGCCACATCACCAGAAAAGGTTACCATATTCATTTTTCACCTGGCAAATTCTGGTCACAGTCCAGACCTCAGGCCAGCAGGGTAAATAATCCTTTCATAACTATTTGTTTTCTGTAATAAAGTCCTATCACTGTTCTTAATGGGCAATTTCCTGGTTTTACAAAAAGTGTAATTTCTCATTTTAGTGTAAGGTGGAGTTTTCAAATCCACCTCATTGTGGAGGAAAATAACTGAAATTGGTTTGAGGTGCACACAGCACTAAAAACGTAAAGTACAAGAAAAGTTTAGACAAAACTAGAAGTATTGTCAGAAAGTATAATTTGTATAATGTTTGGCAACTAATCTTTTAAAATGACGCATCAAAGTATAAATTAATGAGCTCTAAATAATATGGTTGCTTTATGAGCACCATAATGATTATTTTCCATATCAGATATTCTGACAATTATTTTGTAAACTTAATTGATTAGCTGTTTGGTATATTAAATGCCAGAGGATACAGAAACATGAGCATTGCAATTCTCCATAGTGACATGAAAATAACATTTTTGAATTCTTTGTTTTGTCTCACAGGAAGAACAAGTAGGTAGTGTCAGGCATTTTTGTAAGAAAATGACTTGAACTTTTACTGGATGACCCAAAATAGCTGCCGATTAAGTTTCTTGATATTAACTAATTGATTAATCAACTAAAAATTTCAGCTCTACAGCTGTGACCGAGATACAAACCACATCAATGTGCTCCCATTCGTTGATCACTGGAGTTTCCGCTGCTTCAGTCTCCGTCTCCGTCTCCTTGTTTTGCTCCTCATTCTGTCTCTTTTTGTCTTCCTCTAAATTCAGAGCAGCAGCTGGATGGCTGAGAGTCTCCTTCAAACTTTCCTCTGACTTTTCTTCAGTCTTCATCCCATCATTGTGAACTTCATCTGTTGGTTCTTTCTCTACAGTTAATGCAACAGAACCATCTGTATCCTCCTCTTTAAATTCTTGTTCTGACACCTCAATGAAGCTCTCTGAAAACACACAAACAAGCTCATTTCTAACATCTACTGTTTTAAGACGTTATGAGTAGAGTGTGATTTGAAACCAACTGTTACTGTACCTTCTGACTCGCTCTCCTCACTGCTGCCTGGCTTCACATCATTTCCATTCCTCTCCTTTGGAGCTTCAGTGAATTTGTTACTGTTCTGCTCTACAAGCACAGGATGAATTTCAGTTAGTGCACCGACAGGTTTTTCACATAGCTGACGAGAGAGATGGATGGATAATCTGGGTTGACTGGATGCAGCAGCAGTAGCAGCATGCTGTGGATTGTGGTCTGAATCTCTTCTCACAAGCTCTTCTTTCTCTATTTGTCCCCTACTTTTTGTCCTTAAATCCTCTATCAGCTGTCCTGTCTTTGTCTCTTCTTCTGACTCCATCACTGTCCTGGTAGGTTGTTGCAGCGCTGCGGATCGTAGCGCTTTACTTCTCTGTCCAATCACCTCCTCCATCTCATCCTCAGAGCTACTAACTAATAAACTGTCTTTGACATCTGAACTTTGGCCAGCTGGGTTCCTCTTAAAACTGGATTTTCTTTTAGGTGAACGTTCTGTCTCTTCCTCTGAGCTGTTGATGACCACTTGGGGCACCGGGTGATGAATATTTGCCTTTACTTTTGTGGGTAAGCTACTTATTTGGGTCACACATTCAGCTGTTCCATCATCCTCGTCATTCAGAGCTTGTTGGATTGCCAGCAGCGTACGTGGGGACACACTGCCATCCTCCTTATCCCGGTCCACGTTCTCCTCATCTGAGCTATTGTTCATAGCAGCCTGGATGGCCTTAAGTGTCCGAGGCGAGGGTGGTGATGTGTCTTCATGAGCTGGTTTTGACACAGATGGTTTGGAGTCTTCAGAGGAGGGAGTCACTTCCTCGTCCTCCTCACAGATAGGACGCCACAGAGGCTTGGGTCTGTCCGCCACCCGACTTCTGCAGCCTGACAGGGAGCTGCCAGACCAGGGTGAAGCAGCAGGTTGGCTCTCAGGGGCAGCCTCGTTCTTTTTGGAGCCTACGTAGACAAAGTGGAGAGGTATTTTGTATGTGAAAACAAAAACAAGCTTGCATTTTTAAATTTCAGGCAATAAAATTGCAAATTACAACAACCACTGTCTAAGACACACCATAGGGTTATAGATTTATTTCCTTTCTTCCAGGCAACTGTTATTTTCTATAGATTTCAATAAATTCACTAACATACAAATGACAAATACAAATTATGTAAGAATTCACAAGACATCTGACCACTATAACAATGTAAAAATACTGTTACAGACTGAGTAAACATGACATCATAGCCATCTCACCTTTAATAAGAATATAATGCGAATGGTCTTCTGAAACCAGTCGATTTGCCTCTACGCTCCGGTTTTGCTGATCTCCATCTTCTTGGTTGAGCTGTGGAACGCTGCCTGCACTTCGCTGGCTCATCTCTTTCTCCACACCTTCCAGACGCTGGTTCAGCTTGTTCCTCTGCAGTAGGCCGGCCAGCTGGTACTGGGAAAAATCTCCCGAGTGCTGCGAATGAGTGAAGTGGAGTCAGTGCTGAGAGGATGCGACGAGGGATCGAAATGGGGGTGAACGGTACCTCTGGAGGTTTGTGAATCAAGGTTCGGCGCCTTTTGGAGAACTCTTTCATGTCTTTGAGTATCTCATGTTTCATTTCAGGAGGCAGGCTCTCAAACTCCTCTGAGTTGATGTCCACCGAGCTTGTTTCTCCACACAGTTCTCCCTGAAACACAACGAACAGTTTGACTTCAAATGTCTGTTATCATAGACGGCATTCATGCAAAAATAATGTAAGAACACAGAAATAATGTGATCATTTATTGTGAACTTGACATACAGTATAGTTTCGTAACAAAACAATTTGAAATAGCAGACACTTTGTTTTTGGTTTTGTTGATTTAGAAATAAACTGTATCGTAACACAGTGTCACAGCCAGAACCACAGCTGGTCGAACCAACGTTAAAACCCAAATCCTACGTAACATCTTACCTCTTACCACCAAAATTATATTGATACATCACCCTTCAAAACAAACTATTGTGTGGTTGGAATGTTAAATAAGTGAATGCACTTGAGCATGTGATTATTTTACCTGATACATATAACTGTCAGCTGTCTCCTCCTCCTCACTGTCTTCCACCTCCTCAGAACTACAAGGAGAAAGGACAACATTGAATTTATTATAACGCCAGTATGTAAGGTGAAATCGTGTTGAATACAGTAATTTAAAAAAAAAAAAAGTTAAAATAGATGCTGTCATGCACAGTTAATATTACCTTGTTGTTAATTCAAGAAAACGAATGTTTAGTTAATTGTGTACAATTAACAGTACTCTTAAAAGCCATTTGTATTTATAGAGCACCTGACACTACAATCAAACACATGTGGTGGATGGAAATCTCCGGTGCTATTATGGCTGAATTTTGTGTTACAACAGCAACATTTCCCAGCCAACTGACCTGCTTTTGTCCTTCTCCTCAGCAGGGGGCAGGGCTGGAAGAACATACATGTCGTCCACCTCATCTCTCCTCACACTCGAAAGGCTGGGCAAAGGATCCTTACTATAACAGGGAAGAAATGTGGGATATCTTAGACAAAAACCACAGAGACTATAATGATTCTACTAGGACAGTAAAGTGTTTTTAAATGCTCTATTTAGACAGGAGGTTGGTAGACACAAGACAGAGCAGAAACACAAGTTGTTTTGAAACTAGTATTGGGATGTCAAAGAGGATTACTTAGCTGTCCCAGAGAACAAGCCTTCACCTGTCCCTTACCTACAATCTCCAAGTGCCGCTTTGATAGCTTGTCTCTTCAGGAACGTCTTAAGAAGCTTCTCATTGGTCTGTTTGGATTCACGGGTCAACTCCTCCTTCCTCTGCCTCCTCAGAGCCTGCAGCAGAGCCCCAGAGAAAGCAACATTAAATGACAAAAGAGAATCGCACACTTGTGATGGCAAAATTCTGATTATGTTCATTTTATTTAGAATCCACTAGATAAGAATAATGTGATTCTTCAGCAACCATTGGGCTTACCAGGGTCTGCTTCTTCAGCAGAGGTGCGTCCCCATCAAACACAAACACTGGCCTGATGCGGAAGAAGAGCAGCTTACAGATGCGGTGGAAGAGAGTGAGGAGGTGGGCATTCTGGACGCTGTTGCCTTCACGGTCCCTCACCCCCTTCACTGCCTGGTTCAGCCATATACTGATGTCTGAGGGTGTCTGGTTAAGGTTACTACTTTGGCTTAACAGAAATTAGAAGCACCAATACAATACACGGATTAAATAAAAGTGACAAGACAATACATTTACAATGTTAGACAAACAGAAAGATTAAAAGATCTTCTTCAGGTCAGGATACCAACAGCAAGGATCTTTCCCTCCAGTGTCTCAGGGTTGATAGGTTTCCCTGTGCTCTCCAGCAGTCTCCACAGTCCGTGAACTCCCATCGAAGCAGCAGCAAGGGTCCAAAAGTCACAGAAATTCAATAACTAAAATACACAACAACAAGTTCAATTTGCTCCACTAATCTAGACAATTGCTCCAAAACCATGAGAGTAGTAAAAGAAATCATCACAGTGGCAGTTATCTACCTTCGTTGTAACCGTATTTTTATCCGTAAAGCAAATACCGACTGCGCACAAAGGTTCCGCGTTAATTTAAGTCGGGTCTATTTGCCTATTACACCACCGGCTTTCGTTAGCATCCATGATCTGATTTCTAATCAGTTCTAACTGTGGTTTCTGTTGTGAGTATGACAGTAGATAACACAAAAACCGATTGCAGATCAGTACTGAAAAATGTGAAGGAGCATGGGGTTTTAAGCGACGTAAAAGGCGGTATTATTTCCGGGGTAGCGTCTGTCAGGTAGCCACGTATGACGGTGCTGTCTCGACAAAATCCGTACTTTATGGATAATCTTACAAACTCTAATGTTTCAGGTTAAAATATGGACTCTGGGTTTGATTTAATAACAGTGAATCCCTTCCAGCTAGTAATTTTGCAAGAAAGCAGCGGTGTCTTCACGGAAGAGCTTGTCTGACAAACAAACAGCAGGGCAAAACAGCCTTACAACTCTCGTGAAAGCCAACTGTGTCCGGTGACAAAATAAACAGCCCGCTACCTACAACGAATTAACCGAGAAGGTTGGGCGCATTCTCACCCGGTATGTTATCTAATAATTAGTCTGAGTCCATGAATTAGATCCCATTATAATGAGAAATTTATTTTGTTAACATACCCTGATATTTACTATAACTTGTGTCGCTAAATGTCCCGTTAACTGATCCTTTCGATCAACGCTGCTCAGGGAAAGCCCTAACGCTAGCAAGTTAGCTTATCAGCTAGCCGCCGTTATCACGTAACGTTATCACTACCTCAGCTGTTTCCCCTCATATTTGACTAGCGGCCTTCTTTGATCACAGTGACAAACAACATGTATTACACAGAATAACAACAAGACACTTTCCCCATTTGTAACTGTCACAGGAGGAAGACTCGCCGCGGTTTTACCTGAACTACAGACTTCCTTCTTGACTAACACCACCTCCACAATGACTGCCGCTGTGAGAAGTAAGTATTATTTGTTGAATTTTTAGTATTTACAATTTACACGCAATTTTGTCTGCAATAAAGCTATGGGCAATCGTCTATACAATGTCTACCTTGTGTGAGTAACCTGACTCCGTTTGTTCAGGACATACCCTCAGTAATCCATTGTCATACATTGTCTTCCTTTACTTTTTAACAGAGAATACAGTTTGATATTTGTAAAGATTGAAAACCAGGGAACCGTTGGCTTCTTGCCCAGCTTCATAGTTAGTTAATGTAATGCTTCTCAGACTGTTTGGCTACTGTTAAACAAAAAAGAGAAACCTCTGCACTCATCCAACAGCATCTGGCCTGGGATTAGATGATCTTTTATACTTGTAATCAAAACCATAATTTTGTCTACCTCACATCAAGGTATCTCATCATTCTTCTAAATAAAACAAACCAAATTCTCCCGTGTTTAAAGTTGTCTAAACTAGAGCTGCAATGATTAGTGGATTAAATGAAATGCATTCAACTGTAAGATTGGTGGTCAAGTATTTGAGTATTTTTGTAAAAACAAAAAAAAAAAAGTAGAACGATTCTAATTTCATGTACCTAAATGTGATTTTTTGGGGGGGGGGTTCCTTTACTCCGCTACGTCAGAAAGATGTCATCTTGGGCTTTGGGAAACAGTGATTGACATTTTCGTCATTTTATTTTATTTTTTAACATTTTATAGACCAAACAGACAGAATTGACAGATTTACCAACAATTAAAATAATCAATGCAGCCCTGGTCCAAACACAATTGCCTGGAGACACAGCATTATAAAGCTGGAACAATTTTGATTTAAATCAGAAATGTTATGCAAGATTTTGAGTCTGATCAGTCCTACACATTAATAGATATAGACTGTCAAGACCACCCTTTGACATCTGCTTCACACCATACACGATACACACACACATAGGAATTATCACACCTACATTTAGGGTAGCACATTGGTGATTTGAATACTCAGAAAACATTTAGGTGCAAAGCATAAACACTACCTTATATGTCTTCCAGATTCAGCCAGTGTTCCTGTCAGGGGTGCTGGCGATGGCATGGAAACTGAAAAACCAGCAACCACCCTAGAGGTTAACACGGAAGCATTGCCACCAGGTCCATCTGAGATTCCCCTCCTGAAGATAGCTAGCCCAAAGCACAGCCCGAAATCTGTCCATTCTGCACCCCCTGTGGCCCCCCAGCCTCTCGGGGTGCTCCACCTGGGCAAGGTGAGTCGAGAGGCCTGTACAGAGGTGGAGGCTGTCAGGATTGTCGTCCCTCGTGCTGCAATTAGCCGGAGCAGCCGTACAGGACCTGTCGAGGGCAAAGGTGAGGCAGGGCAACAGGCTGAGGAACAGGGTTCCCCTCCGCTGCCTCTGGTGGAGGACTGGAGAGGACAGCTGGAGAAGCTGCAGAACTCTGAACGCAGGCTGCTGCAGGACAAAGAAGGCCTTTCCAATCAGCTCCGTGTGCAGACAGAGGTAAGGCCCTCGTGGACTTGTTCAAATATAAGACATACTGGCCTTTGCACAGACATGTGTTGCTGTTTCATTTCTGAAAATATGCAGAAAATGCTTTAAAATTCAACACTATTTATCTGTAACATTATCCATGAATTTTAATGTTTCATGTAAAATTTCTTGACGTTGTATGGATAAATCCAATGTGATCCTTAACACAACAAAACATGACTTCTTTGGTTATGTGGTTGTTGAAATAAGTGTTATGAAAACTTTTTTGTGATAAAGTCTTAAAATTAAAAATAAATCATTCATTTTCTCATCCATATCTTTAGCTATGAATAAAGCTTTTATTGACATATTTTTTCTTTATGCCAGGTAAACCGTGAGCTGAAGAAACTGTTGGTGGCCTCAGTGGGTGATGACCTTCAGTACCACTTTGAGCGTCTGGCACGGGAGAAAAACCAGCTGATTTTAGAAAACGAGGCTCTGGGCAGGAGTCTGGCACACACTGCAGAGCAGCTGGAGCGAATGAGCATCCAGTGCGATGTTTGGAGGAGCAAGTTTCTGGCCAGCAGGTATGAAATGTACAAAGGAATACAGTGATTTTAAAAATAAATAAATAAAAGAGACTAGAAATTACAAGGAAAGATGGAGAGGGATGGGAGGTTTTATTTCACTGCCATTCATCTCATTTTTGAAAAAAGCATTTATGAAGGACATTTTAGATTAGCTGGAGGAAAACAAGTAAATACCAAACATCATTCTTCTAAAGAGATCAATAAGAAACGATTATGTTTTTCACACTTAATAAACATTTGCATCAATGATGTGTTTTCAGAGTTATGGCAGAGGAACTGACAAATGCTCGAGCAGCTCTGCAGAGACAGACAAGAGAGGCACAAGGAGCGATTCAGGATCTGCTGTTAGAGAGAGAAGAGTTCTCCAGGGACATGATGCTCACCCACAGGTAACATAACCAGTGACTCATAACTAAATTGAATAAAGTGTTTGTTATAATAGATCACAAGCTTAAAGCTTAGACAGCGTGCACTCAAACTCAGTAAAATGAACACATAAGGTTCACAGGTATGACATTGATACTAAAACATAAATAAAAGAGTGACAACCAGCTTTGATGCTCCATTTAGGAAAGCTACAATGTGAGCCAGTAGTGCCAATAAGGTACAACTGAAAGGCCAAATGTAAAGACTGTTCAAGGGTATATGTACCCCGGTTTCAGCTATGTTGTTGCACAGATAATGATGAGACCCTGTGTTGACGTTGCCTGCCTTTGTGCCATCAGATCTCTGGAGCAGCTTCTGGTGTCTCTGCAGTGGGGCAGACTGCAGACGTACTACCCCAGCGCGCAACCCCTCAGCACAGGAGAGATGGCTGCAGCAAATCACAAGCTAGCAGACGCCATCAACTCCCACTTGCTGGGCAAGGGTGGTGGCGGCGGCGGCAGCAGCGCGGTAAAAAGCAGCAGCGCGGTGAAAAGCAGCAGCACAGCAGCCGAACACCTCTGCAGCACACCAGCCGAGAAGATGGCTGAGAAGGTACCGAACCTATACCCCTGTACAAATCTTACTCACATTTTAAATTCCACTTACTATAATGTAGTGATATTTGTAGGAAAAATTCTGAGATTCACAAATGCGTTACCTGTTTTCTTTATCAGGTGCTGAAGATTTTAGATCCAATATCCTGCTCAGAAAACAAGGCAGAAGCTTCGCTTGGCGACGCCACAGCTTCAAACTTTCTCAACAGCAAGAAGAGCATCGGCAGGTTCCACCCTTACACCCGCTATGAGAACATTACTTTTAGCTGCTGCGAACGCTGTACTGGAGACATCCTGGTGCTGTAGTAGTCAAAGAGAATCAAAACGTCCTCTTCTGACACAAATGCAGCATTGAGGCTTATTTTAAATAACTGACTGTACTCTGGGTGATGTTAATGCTCTGTGTTTAGTGATTTTTTCATCGAACGGCAGGCAAAAGTTAGCTGCTCACATCAACTTGCTGTTTGTTGTTCTGTATTCAGACTTGAAAAAAAGATAAGTGAGAAAATGGACTTGATGTTGAGGAAGCATGATGAGACAATAATGAAAGCAGAATGCTTTTGAGAGCCATTGCAGCACGGTTTAAACCACGGAAAGTATCAGTGGAGTGAGATATCAGGGTCAATCAGTGTTACCAGATGAATAGACACTGTTATGGGGTCTGCTTAGTCAAACTTGAACTTTTGCTTGTGTGTATTTAGTTGTATTTGCACATGCCGATATTCATAATTTACTGAGCAAACAAGCTGTAATGAAATGTGTGAGACACAAAATAGCCTCCAGTAAGTTAAACAAAAGATAATGGCACTGTGACAGTACACAAAATTAAGTCAGGATGCCTCCCCAATTTCTCTGTGTGATGGTTCTATTGTGTTTTAAAAACATTTTGACTATATTTTATGAATATATTTTGTATATTACATACTGTAAATGCATAATATATGTTCAGTATTTTAAAGGTGGACTGATGGTATAACAGATTATTACTGTGCAGTGGTGTTACTGATTTGTTTTTACTGAATCATGTCATTTGGGTAATTATTTTATTTTATTTTATTTGCAATTCATTATTTAAAAGAAAAACCTTAAGGACAATGCTATACTTCGTTTTCAAGCTTTTGGTTTATATCAGGAACTATCTGAAAAAGTTTGCTCTGTGCAGTAATTGCAATGGTGTCATTAACAGTGAAAGCACACCATAAAAATATTTATGCATCATTTGTTTCAGTGTAAAATAAAGACCAAAGTAGTTTCTACTTTTTTAAAATGTCTCTTGTTGTTTGTAACTCTGTACTAGAACTCACATATTACACAGCACATATTACAACATTTTATTCATCATTTCTCAGTTTTCAACATTTCCTCAGACAGTGGTTCATAACAGTTAACAGTTTTTGCTGGATTCACTCATTCTGCCACCTCATTTTGTTTTTGCCTGCACTTTTTCTCGTGTCCATGTCGCTTTTAAATGATGTCCGTACTTTGGGTGCAGCTTGTTTGTTTTCTTTGTCACCGGCCTGTCCAGCCATTCTGTCCCCACCAAAGAACCCAGACTCGTTATGGGACTTGTAAGTACTCTGGGTTTTAAATGTCCTTCCGCTGTTTTTATCTTCAAATCTCATAGACCTGTTGGCTCCATCTCTTTCTCTATGATTTGTGACACTTGTAGCTCTGTTATTGGTCATTTGAGTCTGTGCTTCCTGTTGGTGGAAGCCATCATGCTTCCTTGTAGGCACAAATGTCAGTGCTTCCTCCCATTTCCCCGTATCCTTGAGTGTGAGCAAGATGCGGATCATCTGGTCCAGAGTCAGATTTTTGGCTCCCTTCGCCCACTGGAGGAACTCATCCAGTGGCAAGCGGGCTGTGGCCAGCTTCAGACGCTTGGCATTCGCCAACGACACGCCTGACTGAATCGTCCGGTCCACCAGAGCTCCGACGATGTAGACCTTGGTGTGGTCAAAGGTGCGGAGAACATTGGGGGAGTCTGCAGTGAGGTAGACGAGCTGCTCACGTGGGAACACGTTGACATGCTGCTGGTCAGTGCTGGTGATCAGCAGGCGGTCCCAGGCCTGTGCACCATATCGTTTGAGCAGCTCCTGCTTGTAGGGCCCATCTGGTTGTAGGTTGCAGAAGTGGAGGTGGAAGGGCTCAATGGAACGCCGGTTCCAACTTTCTGCTTCTGACAGCTGTTTCACTGTGTTCCTCAGCTCCCGCCTGGACATTTTGGAGTCATAGCTCATGTCAAACACCAGAGGCTGACCGAACTGCATGGCCTGAGCAGCCTTCCAGCCCAGCTGTCTTTCCAGAGAACGAGTCCAGAAGCGAAGGAGGAACACGTTTTTTAATTTGCATCCTTCCTCGTCATCCTCGTAGTTGTCTTCTCTCTTCTCCTGCAATGAAGCTTCCTCTTCAGCCCTCTTCTGCTGCTTCTCCTTCCGGGCCAGTTTGTAGCGCTCCTTGATAGCCAGGTACTTCAGGTAGCTCTTTGCGGCGGTCTTGGTGGCAAGCTTTTCCAGCGTCTCAACCTCCTCATTTGTCATTTCTTGAGGTACAAACTTCCCAGCTTGCCTCCACATGATAACCATGTCCCTGGTTGCCTCCAGTGAAGAACCATCCTTTCGATCACCTTCTGGTCCTGCCAAGTTTTCACCATCACCGCTTGCTTCCACTTCATCGTTGACTTGTTTCTCCTCAAATGCAGCTTGAGCTCTCATGACAGACTTCCATCCGTCCAGATCTAGTGTCTCTATTTGCTCGGATGTGTCTGTTTTTGTCTGGAGAGCATCTTTCCCCGCAGGATTCACTGTACTGAAGTGGTGAGCAAGGATGGTTGGTCTACGATGTCTGAGGAAACTGCTCACCGGCCTCTTGGCAACACCGGATGCCACAAAGTGACTGCATTTCCAGAGTACGTTACAGCCACGAGTAGTGAAGAGCCGTAGCATCGCCAACATTTACTTAGAACTGCGGTTGCGTCAAAATAATAAAACTAGGAAACACAGACTGTCGCTATGTTTTGCAGAAACAGAACAAAGTACGTTACCACCGCGGTTTTCCGGGGTCAGAAAAATATTACTGTCAACAGCAGCATCTTGTTAAACGTCCAAATACTCTCCAGGTTGTGTTCACGCGTGGCTATGTTCAAGTTTGTCAAACGTTTGGGGGAAGGTCACGTTGTCACACGGTGTCACACTATAATGCGTCGTAGTGAAAAGCAATACCTTGCTAACTGTCAGGTGCTAAATGTTTAGTAGGCTGAAAGTAACAACATGTTTCCACCAGTAAAATGTCAAATTAGCTTCCGTTTTCTGTTAAATATCGATATAAATTATAATAAAAGCACTTTCATTTCCGTTAATTTGTGTCGTCTCCGTTTCAGGCGGAGTTTTTCCTGTGTGGCAAAGCCTTAGTGACATAACTTCCTCCTGGTAGTAAAACGAGACAAGCTAACTTGTTAGCCTCGAAAATGAGTTTGTTTTTGCCCAAATTAACTTGCAAAAAAGACATAGATGAAGTCATCAAAGCGGTAGCAGAAAAAGTGGTCGTTCTTAGGTTTGGAAGAGACGAAGACTCAGTTTGTCTGCAGCTTGATGAGATTGTAAGTCGGACTGTTAACGTCTGTGTTAACAAGCTAGCGGCTGCTCAGTGATAATGCGACAACTCTGCTAATGCTAATTTGTCATTTCTGTCTTTTTGTAGCTGTCAAAAACTTCTCACGACTTAAGTAACATGGCGTCCATCTACATCGTCGATGTGGATAAAGCTCCCATCTACACGAGGTACTTTGACATCAGTTACATCCCCTCCACGGTTTTCTTTTTCAACGGCCAGCACATGAAAGTGGATTATGGGTGAGTAAACGAATAGTTTGTACTGTCAAAATGCTTCAAAACAGGATTAAAAATGACAATCGTTACTATTAATTATTCGAATAATTGTTTGGTCTGTTAAAGAAAGTCCACCTCATTAGATTTAATAGCTGAAACCAAAAGAAATTGACTGAAGGTGTTATAGATTACTAATTGCCAATTTATATCGATGACCAGGTTGATTATCAGAGTAATGGTTTCAGCTGCTGTGGTCTATGAAATTAAAAATCAGTGGAAAATGTCCATCTCACTGCTATAGACCTCAGTTTACTAAGTGCTTGCTTTGTCCAACCAACAGCCCACACCCCAGAGCTATTTAGCTTATGAAAGGCCAATGTTTGTATTTTAAGAGTTTGCTTTTGCATGTTTGCTTATCCCTAGAGCACTAACGCTAAAATTAGTAATACTATCACTAACGCCGGGTATATTTTACCCGATATAATAATCTGGATAAAACCTAGTTTTCATAAATTTTTGTAAAAGTACAACACTGTATGACAAACTGTAGTACTCTTCTTTAATTTCCCAATATACAATATCATATAAAATTTAAAAAAAAAAAAATGTACCATGGGGGACCCTATAAAAAGGCAGCAAAATTATTGAAAAATCAGGTAATCCTTATCGAGAAATTTCCAAACAGCAAAAATAATGGAGCTGGGAACTAGTTCTTTGTTCCACCCATTCCTGGGACATGTGAGCCTTGTCTGGTGAAGGCACAGTCTTCCTGCATCACTGACAACTGTGGCAGAGATTGATGAAAAAAGGCAATTTTTGAGAGGGGAAAAATTACCACATTTTTTTGACTACATGAATTTCCTTAGACAGACAACATACCAGAACCAAACTGTGCCTTCACCAGACAAGGCTCACATGTCCCAGTCCTACCATTTGTCATACAGTGTTGTACTTTTACATAAATTGATGAAAACCATATTTTATCCGGACTATTATATTGGGTAAAATATACCCGGCGTTAGTGATGGTGTTACTAATTTTAACGTTGGTGTGCTCAGTCAGGAATTTCACTGATTTTCTGGACATTTCTTTTTTTTTCCTCTGAGTGCTACAGCTTCACTTGTAGCTAGCTAGCTAAAAGCTTAGCTTTAGTAGAAAAAAAAAATCTGCGTAGCTAATGATTGCAGATGTAAATGAACATTAGCTACATGTTAATCACTTGTTAGCATTGCAGAGAAACTAGGCCTGTGACAGGATGACAGCTGTGGATGAAATGGGGCAGAGGATGTAGCCTGAATGTTGTTTCCCTTGAAAAGTGCAAAGAACGCCTGATTTCAACACACAAACACGAACATTGGGTAAATTCCACCCATAAAATATGTTACCCTCTATCACTAACGCCAGGTGAAAATCACCCGAACGCATGCCTCTTGAAAAAAACATAGATGGGAGGTGGGAAACAAACTTACCATTAATGACATCAATGAGCAGCCTGAAGCTACCCAAGGACCCATGCAACTCAGACAGCAGCAACACAATGAAAATCACATGACAAAAATCGTGCGGGTGAAAATCACCCGGTGTTAGTGTTCTAGGGTTAAAAGATATTTTTCAGAGTTTTTTTTACTACTTAAATATAGTACTTGAATAAATGTACTGCGCACCACTGGTAATATAAGAGCCATAGTCTCCTTCTAATGCTGATAATTCTTGATAATTCTTTGTCTTCCAGCTCCCCGGATCACACTAAGTTTGTTGGCAGCTTCAAGACCAAGCAAGATTTCATAGATTTGATTGAGGTGATATACAGAGGAGCCATGCGGGGGAAAATGATTGTCCAGAGTCCCATAGATCCTCAAAATATTCCCAAATACGACCTCCTTTACCATGGGATTTAGAATCAACACCTTCACTATGTGGCCTTATAACCAAAATGATTTGCATGGACCACCACTGGTTGATTAACAATTAGAAGTAGCTCAGCCACGAAGCGACTGTTTAAAGACAGTTCGATATGAAGTTTAAGTTCCTCAGATTTAGAGGCTTTAGTAAAAATGCTCATCTTCATATACAGAGAAAATTACTAGCAGTGCTTTGCATTTTACTTCTTGTCCTGCTGATAAACGTCCCTTGTTGTGTTTTTGAGCACTAGTGCTTATACTATGGAGCAGTATATTCATGTGTGGGCCCTCATTTTGTATGTAGGTGACATTCAAGCCAGTGGTTTTCTACGAGTCCACTAATCGACAGATAGCATGTCAAAATCACAAATGTGAAGGCACAATGCGAGCAAGCTAGTAAACATAGAAGTTACCAAACAAGTTGCAAACTTTGAACAAAAAGGAGTTTTACAAATGTTTTATGAAGTATATGCATTCAGTTAGACCTCAGGCATGTGCACAATTTATCCTGTCTGTTTACACAGACTATAAACAACCAAATGACTGTAAATCTAGTTTGTTTACAAGAAGATGCTACAGGGAAGTTTAGCATTGTTTTAACAGCATGCAGGAGTTTGGCAGGTTGGAAAATTTGAAATGTTTTCAAATTTAAGCTGTGTTGACTTGTGATGAATACACACCATATAATTGACTTTGTCATATATTCCATGCTAAAATTTATTCACAGCAAGACATTTTTATGAATGAAAAATATTCTGATTTTTCCACAACTCTACTGTTTTCTCAGCCCTTCTCCCCTTCTCTGTCATAGGTTTGATAAACGTGGCATTCTGATAAACAAGGTCCTGCAAATTCATTAAAATATCTTTTTCTTGTGAAAATGTCTAGTGCCAATTTAATGTTTCCCATGGAAAACAACTGTAGTTCTGCAGAGAGATGTAACTTATTTATCCAATGTACATGCCCTGCTGTTATAATAAACTTTGAACCATGATTTCTTTTTCCTTGTTTTCTTGTAGGCTTCATATATTTTGCAGTGGTCACCTCACAGCAATGTCATTGAGTTTTAAGGAATCACACTCAAAAACCAAAATCAGAAAGACCTTTTGGTATATCAAAATATAATTTAATAGCACCACAACCACCAAAATGACCAGAAAGTAAGATTGACAAGATTTATTGCAGCAATGTTTTGAAGTTTGTGGTATGGCAGTTTTAGCTTGGTGTATATAGTATAAGCATAATAAGCCAAGGGCTGCAAGGTGGCTTTATGGTTAGCACCGTTGCCTCGCAGCAAGAAGGTTGCTGGTGAGGACACCGGGATCTTTCTGCATAGAGTTTGCATGTTTGCAGCGTGGGTTTTCTCCGGGTTCTCTGGCTTCCTCCCACACAGTCCAAAAACATGTTGAGGTTAATTGGTGTTTCTAAATTGTCCGTAGGTGTGAATGTGAGTGTGCTTGGTTGTCTGTCTCTAAGTGTGGCCCTGCGATAGACTGGTGACCTGTCCAAGGTGTCCCTTCGCCCTAAGTCAGCTGGGTTAGGCTCCAGCCCCCTCATGACCCTAGTGAAGATTAAGCCGTGTATAGATAATGAATGGATGGATAATAAGCCCAAGTTCAGTCTTAGATGATAAAACAACAACCAGAACTCCTTGGATTCATACATTCTGCAGTTCATTCATTATCCATCATTCTGAGTCTAAAGGTGTATTTCCACATTTACACCTGCATCCACACTGTCTCTTCTCTCCTCTGATGAAGGCCTGGGTGCTGCATCTTGTAAATGAGCTGCACAGAAAACAATATCATCTGGTCGTGCTGATGACTTGTCAGTGTTCCCATTCCTTTCTTTCATCCAGACTGCATACAGAGAGTTGGACCTGTAGTCAAACTGTATTTAAAGACAGATGCATGGGAGTGAGTTAGAGGTAATATGATATAGTATAACAATAATAAAAAGTCATGGCTCACCTCTGACTGTTTCTCCTCTGTCTTGGTTTCTTTTGTTTGCTGTATTTTCTCTAAGTAGAGATATTGTGGTTATGCAAATATATACCTTTTCATGATAGATGTGACTTAGTTATCATTTTCAAATTACTTAAAATGTGTTTGCTCATAATTAATAAGAATTCTTACCTTTGCATTTAAAAGCAGCTGCAACACTACCACAGAGCAATACAACACTGATGACACCCAGAACAGGCCACTGCCACTGGATGCCACGACTTGTAGAGTTGTCTATAAACCCAATAAGGGAAGATATCTTGTTCACACCCAGCACCATGATATATACAAGCACAAGTTATCAGATGTTTACATTTTTTTTAGAATTATTTCTACCTGCAGCTTGTCTTGCTCCACTGTTCATGGTTCCAGAGCAAGGAAGACTGTGTTCCTTGTAGCTGTAACCCAGACTCTGAGTGTCCCTGCCCCAGAAGTAGTTGTTGGTGCGTAAAGGGAAAAAAGGAGCCATGTAGGCCTGAGCTCTCTGGGCCGGATGGACCTGGTCGCTGTCGGGGTAGGCCGCTTCACTGTGGTTCTGCAGCCATCTCTCGAGGAGCCTGACACCCATTTACACAGCACAGAGGACAGCAGTGAACTCAAATACTGGCTGTGAAGAGATTACTAAAGTGATTTTATTACAAGTGGCAGAGGACACAATCCAGAGTCATAGTTTTTGTGTAAAAATGCATTTCAAAGCTAATATAAAGCATTAGACTGACTTCCAAAAGTGCAGTTATATCATTACTACTTCCTGCTTTGTATTACTGTTCCTCTGCTGTACTTCAGCAGGTAAACACTGCCAGAAGAGGTTTAATACTAAGAAATTGTACCTTTGGAATACACCCACTCTGTCTAACACAGACTGCAGAAGTCACATAAATGCAAACCCTAAAACACATTTTTTTTGCACTAAACAAGAGCATTGTATCAAATACAGTCAAAACACCTGAATCCATCATTTATGACCTACTTGTCAATGAAGCTGTGATGCAGCATGAATATGGGGTCATTGGCTGCAGTAGGGACCAGAGACATTGTGCCATTCAGGTATCTGTGGACCAGGTTATGCATTGATGCATTCAGGTTCCGGGAATCACTGGGAAACTCAAAACCTGAAGGTACAGAGGAGCACCTTTGAAGTAGATCTACAATTTATTTGGCCTGTTTTTTGCTTATTTTATTACTGTATGATGTAAATACCTGACTTCTAAAAAAGGCAAATTGTTTAAATTCTTGAGGCAGAGATTAAATTCAAAAGACACATGTTATTAGTAAGAAATATAATTAGTTTAATAGGCAATTGAATCTACCTTCTAGCTTGTTCCGGAAGCTGTTCCTAGAGGTTTTGTCATATGGAGGGGTGTCAAAAAGCAGTGTTGCCATTGTGTCTTCAACATCAGCAGCGGTTGGGAGTGTTTTGTACACTGGATCCTTTCCGGGGTTGCGGATCAGATGAGCAGGACCAGCAGCATCAGAGTGAATACAAATTATACCAAGACTCTCCTGAAAGGGACATATGGTCTGTGGGGAGAAGACAGAGGAAGACATAAGTTAGAAGAAGAGGAAGCTTAAGCAACTGGAAAAGACATTGAGGGAGATCACACCTTCCATTTTGAGAAGAGGGAAGCGCTGTCTATGTGTCCGTCTTGGCCAACTCCCCCAAAGTATTCATTGGTGCAGATGTTGCAGTGGTTGGATCTGGTCCAGTCCCAATATGGGATGTAGAAATCCTGGTTCCCAGTGAGTTCCCTTATCTCTCTCTCAATAAAGAGTAGAAACACCCGGTGCCAGAAGATGAAAGCAGGGCCCCGGTGTGCAGCATTATTTTCAGAACCAGCGTAGCTCTTAGCAGAGTAGTAGTGCATCCATACATACAGATCATATACACTTGTGTTGTGAAATATATAGTTCCCCTCCACTGTTGTGTCATTGCTTGTAAGGATCATATAGTTACTGCTGGGGCTATGTTTTGCCTGATGCAGACTTGAGATAAAGGTCTCCCTCTCAGAATCATTCAGATCTGTTATCTCTTTCCTCTCCACATGGTGCCTTTGCAGACACTGGGGTCCTCTCCAGCCAGGGAGGCACTGACCACAGTCATATCCATCGTAGTTTCCCCAGCAGGTACACACTGAATCGTAAAAGACACGAGGCCAGTTCACCCGGTAGTCCACTGGTTTTGGAAGATCTCTTGCCGGATGTGGTGCACAGACTCCTCGCCCTGAGCTAAACCCACAAGGAGACCCATTCCAGAGGGGGCAACACATCCTGGTCTGGAGAGCCTCAGGTGTTGTGCAGGGACGTGGAAACTGAGCCTCCACCCCTCTGAGGCTTGTCACATATAAGAGAAACCAAAACAACTGGAGAAATAGCATCATGGTGTGGGAGATGGATTCCTGCACCACCTAAGTCCCCATAAAACATTAGGAGGACACAGCAAACTCACCAGCCTGTCAGGGACAGCTTTCTTTTAAAGGGTAAATGTCGCAAGTCTCCGATAGTACAGCTGCAATATTTGAACAAGTGGAATGTATGGACATTTCTGTGACGTCTCTGACTGTATATTTCAAAGATCTCTTACACAAGACTATGTGTTATATAACTGTATGGTCTGAGTGGTCCCTGTCCTCCACTATGGACACTGTTTTGTGGTTAATTTTTAAATTTACCTAAAAGTGCATGACAAAGTTTGTTTCACTTGTGTCAACACAAGATCCAAAACTTTATCTGGTTTGGTCAGAGTCCTGTGTGTTTGTGAGTGCATAACAAAGACAAAGAAAGATAAGAAAGAAAAAGAAAAATGTAACACTGGACATTGTATCCTGTGAAGGTATTACTCACTCATGGAGGTGAACAGCAGTCCGTTTCATGAACATGTTTCTAAACTGTCACTCACCATATGAGGTCTATCAGCATGTTATGGACTACCACGATGTAGTGGGCAGTATTACTGGTGTGTATGTTTTTAATGCACTTCATTCATGGCAGGAAACTTATTATCAGTTGCTCACTGTTGCACTTCAAATTCTCTCACATGTTGATACATATTCTTATTTTTATAACACAGAGGCTGTGCTCAAACCTGGATGGTAATCAGGTTTTTGTTCAAGAAAGTAAATTTAATCAAAAAAGAAAATGTTCACTTGCCTGACAGTTGTCTTGTTTTAAGTGGTTTTGGCTGCCCAGTAAGTCAGAGTTGTGTTAGATTTGAATCCATAACCTCAATTGCAATTGTATTGTACTTGTTACTTTATTTTGGGGCCCCAGTTTTAAAATTGCGCACCTGTTATTTTTTCAAGCATCAATAATTATAAACTTGGCGTCTGCTGGGGCCATTAAATAATGTGCATCTGCTGGAAACAGTTGTGTCTGTGCCCTCAGTACAGTTGTATTTATATATAGGTTATATTTGTATATTTCTTCCAATATCTGGACATAGAGAACACTTCAGGCTGCTTCCCGGGTTAGGTGATAACTTCCAGTTCTGAAAATATTTACAATTCTCAGAATTTATCTAAAATGTTGACATAGAACACAGTTTTGGGTAACTAATTAACTAAGTTTGAACAAATTCTGATTGGGTGGAGGAACACTGCTGTCTGAAATGACATGGCCTGAACCTGGTCTTTTGCATTACAATCAACCTTGGCTTTATCTCAATGACATAGTGGACATATGTATAGAACTGCATTGTGCTATATTTGACATTTTGCAACTATATGTGACCATTCATCATTGCATCAACGAAATTAAAAACAAAACAAAAGCACATGCTTTTATTGTGAAAAACCCTCCTACAGGCAGCATCTCTTCAAGTGGCAGGAAGCAGCTCAGCGATGGCAGCGACCTTGTAAAGAGCGTGGTGTTCGTAAAAACTTATCTAGTTAGCCGGCTAAAATGCTCTTATATGAGCCAGTCAAAGTGACAGTTTGGTGTTTATAGTGGCTATTTGAACGTTAGCATCATGTTTTCCCTCATGAAGGCAGCAGTCGGAGGATTGACCGGAGTGTGTCGAGTCCACGGTCACCAACACGGTAATGTAAGCTAGCTGACGTTAGGGTGACATTATTAGCTACTAAAGACAGTTTAGACAAAAATATATGTTTAACCTTCAGTCTCAAGAGCCATACTGCATAGTTACTATAAAAGAAAAAAAGATAACATTTAAAAAAATATAGTTTAAAAATGTGAAGAGCAGTGCTATAAAAGGATTAGCCTGAGCATCAATACATGACATAATGATAGTTACAGTTACTAATTGAAAAACAATACATAGAGCACGCAACACATTGGTTTAAAAAAAAAAAACAGGACATTGTCGCACTAAAATGGCAAAACTGCAATGGAAAGGCTACAGAACGACACACTGGTGACAAGAAAACAAGACAGGCTGAAGATAGCAAGGAGAACTTTACATCATGACAGAGCTGGCCACTAATAAATCATTTTTCTGCACTATTCTCGTAGTTTAATCGTAGCAACTGGACTTGCTTGAGTTTCTTGAAGACGTTTCACCTCTCATCCAAGAGGCTTCATCAGTTCAGACTGACTAGTTGGGAGTTCCACATACTTATATTCTTTAGGAGCCATTAACACTTGAGAAGACTTGATTTGACTTTAAGAAACTCAAGCAAGTCCGGTTGCTATGATTAAACTACGAGAACAGCCATGACCTGGATTACTGAGAATCTTCACAGACATTTTTCTGCATTATTCTTTGTGGAGACATACAGGTTTGAAAATGTCATTACACCACCTTTTTTTTGCAAAGTGTACACAATAAGCCTTTGACAATAAACTATATATATATATATTATGGTGGTTTAAAAAACAACAATATCTTTAAAAAGAAAAGTCTTGTAAAAATTCAATAAAAAAATAAATTATGTTTAAAAATATGGTGTCATGAAATGGAAAAATTCACACTAGATGTCATGTGAATTTTAGCATTAACTGTATAAGTCAACAGATAATCTAAACTGCATTATTACTTAACAGTGCCTAAAAGAAAAGAATTGAGAAGCATCTGTCTTGGTGCTTAACCAAGAGGGATACAGTGAAAGCACCATTTCAGACCAGCTTGGAATCAGCAAAAAGCTGTTTATTTCAGCCTTAAAGAAGAAAATGCAGTATGCCTCCACCACAAACCACAAAGAAGCAAAAAAAAAAAACCCGGAAAACAGGGATCACAGTGGTCAAACAATATTTCCAAAGCTGTAAAAGCATCAGCCTCAGACAAAGACAAGCAAACCTCGGATTTATATTTAAATAACTGTCTGTATAAGCTTCAAAGCACACATGATTAAGAGGTTTGCTTCTGAGTGGCAAAAAATTACACTGCAACTTACAGTTAGCAGCATTATATTGGTGATAACAGTTCTACTTAAGGCTGAGTTTTTCAAAACATCGTTAAAAGATGTGTCAAGTAATGTTTTTTTTTTTCCCACACAGGTACTTTGCACAGCCATTTGAAAGTCCTTGTTGCAGGCCTGAAGACAATTGAAATCCCTCCAGACTACAGTGGTAAGTATTCATCTTCTTGTCAGTCACTTGTGACTACAAATTTCTGCAATTTATATGTGTGGAGTTTGCATGTTCTCCCCGTGCAGCGTGGGTTCTTTCCGGGTTCTCCGGCTTCCTACCACACCATTCAAAAAACATGTTGAGGTTAATTGGTGATTCTAAATTGTTTGTAGGTGTGAATGTGAGTGTGCTTGGTTGTCTTTCTCTAAGTGTAGCCCTGTGATAGACTGGTGACCTGTCTAGGGTGTCTCCTGCCTTAGCCCTAAGTCAGCTGGGATAGGCTCCAGCCCCCTGGTGAGGATTAAGCGGTGTATAGATAATGGATGAATGGATGTTTATCTAATATGCCATGGTTCTTGATGATTTTTTTTTTTCCTCCGAAGATGTGGTGCTGCCAGCAAGACCCAAACTGAAGTTTTTGAACAAGGTGCCTAACTTAAAGAAGGCCAAGAAAGAAGCGAAGAAACTGTCGGATATTCGAGGCCCAACTACGGGAGCAGATACCTTCATTAAAGGACAATATGCTATTGTGGTGAGTGTGCCTGCAATCTGGGGCGTTTTGGGAACATCTGTAAATTGTAACGTCTATCGATAAGCAGATGTTCAATAAGTGATGCGTTTTTGCCTGTGACAAGGTGGGAGATGCTACCAGTCAAAAAGTTAGTCTGGAGCCCTGCAAAAAATCTTGATGACCTGTGAGTCAAATGTTATATAACTAAGATAATAACCTGACTTGTGAGGAAACTATCAGCATCATCTTTCCATCTAGCTTTCTCCTTCACACGTCTTCTAACTGTATTGGCAAGTGAAATAAACAAAGTAGTTAGTCAGACCAAAACATTTGAAGTGACTTCCCTCTTCCTCTGTTTCTTTCTGATGCTCAGGCCATGGGAGGGGGCTACCTCCATTGGGGTCACATAGAGATGATCCGTCTAACAATCAACCGCAAGATGGATGCCCGGACAACATTTGCTCAGTGGCGCATCAACAGCCCATATAAGCCCATCACACGTAAAGGTCTTGGTCAGCGCATGGGTGGTGGCAAAGGAGCCATCGACCAATATGTTACACCAGTTCGTTGCGGGCGTTTAATTGTGGAGGTCGGAGGAAAGGTGGAGCTGGGGGAGGTTCAGCATATCTTGACTGAAGTGGCAAAGAAGTTGCCCTTCCCCGCCAAGGTGAGGTCTCAGATACAGGCCACGTTCAATACATCTGTCGCTGTCTGTAGTGTGAAATGAGCTGCCATGTGTCTGTGTGCTACTGACAGCCTGAGCTCCTTAATACTCGTGCCAGACACTGTGACGTCTGTATTTGGCATACCATGTAAGAGGGTACTTCAAAAAGTCCTCAGCCTTTGCCTTTTTACAGGAGAAAGATTATTCTTGCATTATTTTTCAACATAGTCTCCTTTAACTTTAATGCACTTGGTCCAGTGATGTTAAAGCTTCGCCATCCATTTGTGGAGAAGGTCACATCTTGAGTCTCAAGATACTCGTCAACATCATGGATGTCGTCATCATCACTATAAAAATGTCGACTTTGCAAGTAGGATTTAATTCTGGGAAACAGAAGTTAGACGATGCAGGTTGGGTGACTAAGGTGCATGAGAAAATGACACATCAACTCGTGTATAAAATAGTGGTTAAAAAAAAAAGTAACCTATTAACCTTTATGACAGTAGGACCTATTGTGGGGCTGTTGTGTTGGACTACTTAATTTTATCTGGATTTGACCAGTAAACTGACAGCAGATTGTAAACAAAAGTTCAAGAAAGACTGAACCAGGCAGGGACATTTGTGGAATTCTAACTTACTCTACAAGAGAGATGACTTCCTATAATTCTCTGTTGAAACCTCTCAGCAATTGTTCTTGTTGCAATTAAAATGCTTTAGTGCCACTTTAGTTGTCAATGATTTAACTGTTTTTCTTTTTTCTTTCACCATAATTCCCTTGCGTTATATTTCTACAGCCTTAATGTTATTTCTTTATTTCAGGTAATGACCAGAGAGAGTCTAGCAGACCTGCAAGAGAAGCAGGCTGATATGAAGCAGAACAACCAGAACCCCTGGACATTCAAGCAGATAGTGCAGGGCAACATGCTGGGTATCAGGAGGGTGCTCAGCCCCTTCGACCTGAAGAACCATGGACGATTCTCAGGCAAATTTCACTACCCATGGAGGGTGTGACAAGCCTGAGGGACAGAATACAGTATTATACTGTAGACCACATTCAGACCACACCATCGAAGAGACAACCAGAATTTTGAAATGCTCCAACTTTCACTCATATCTGGAAATCTTTTTTGTTTTTCATGCAACCATATTGATAGGCTCCAGCCCCCCGCGACCCCAGTGAGGATTAGGCGGTGTATAGATAATGGATGGATGGATGCAACCATATTTTGACAGTTTATTAAAGCGGTGTGTTTGTTCTGTTTCTGCTTATAAAACCAATAAATTCGATTATGTGTTTCAGTTTCACATGGTGGTTTGAGTTATTGAGTACGTGAGTTTGATAGTCATTCTGTCTAATCAGCAGCAAATAAAATGTGGAAAGAGTGAAAACTGTACTGTAGCTGTATAGTGCGTAAGAAACAAAAAACTAAATTGCTTAAGCATTTATGCTTTCTGTTGTAAGTTACATAATTTTATACCAGCACAATGCTGACTTGTCATTTTCCATGTAAAAACTAATACTGTATGTATACATACAGTATTAGTTTGTTGTATAGTTTGTATACAAACTATACAACAAAGACAGTAGAGAAAAGGTTTAATGCTTAGAGATTTTTGTGGCAGTTTCTTATTCCAAAAAGAATTTCCTTTGTGCTGTACTCAGAAATGGTGTTTTGTAGATATAAAGACTTTGTACACCCGTTTAAACACAGCCAGGTTTACATCAGCATTTCTGCCTGAGTCTGAAGCTTATACTAACACTATCATGTCATTGCTACAAAAACACATGGTTTCCAGAAAGTAAGGAGGAAACGGTATTAAATTGAAAAAAAAAAAAAAAAAAAAATCTATGTCGTTTCCTAAAATGGCTACAGCGACAGATGTTGAGTTAGCCCTGCATTCCTGTTGCAGGTGAGTTTTTTTCTTTTCCTTTTAAATCTTAGCCGGTGATTCATTTGAGCTATTCTTTTTTATTTGTTGGAGGGCCGCCATGTTTCTCGATATGCAAATGCGCTGATGCTTTAGTATCTGTTTGGCAAGTTTGGCTATAATTATGATGGCAATTCTCAGTCTATGGGCGGAACAGCTGCCTGACAAGCGTTACTCCGGGTTGAATTGCTTTTTTAACGCATGCGCATTGTGGACGTAACTTCGAAAACAGCAGCGCGAAAAGCAGGTCGGCAGCCAACAACATTTCTACCTTTGGAGTGTCGGTACCAAAATATGTCATATTGGAGTTTTAACGTTATATAACGTGTATTTTTGTCCCATGTTGTCACATTTAGAAAGCTTCTGTTTTTTTTAGTTTTAGTATTTTCGGTTTATAAACGTTAGCTTAGCCAAACGTCGCTGCTTTGCCTTAGCTGCATTAACGTTACCTTTGTTATGTATTAACCTTAATGCTAACTAGCTAATATGAAGCCTGCTCGAGGGTCTAACCGGGCCCCAACAAACGCACCTACGGTCAAAAACAGGAAAAAAACTGATAATACACAGGAAACAACAGCGAATCAGGTAAGATGAGGTAAACTCTGCTGTTGTCTGGACTGCTCTGTAGGCTCAAGTTAGCCTGTTGCTTCCTCCAAACGCTTAATAAGGTTTCTACTGTAGGACCAGAAGCCCATTAACGGTCACAGTGCCAAGAAACCAAAACCAACAGAGAAGAGAAAAGGTGAGGACAGCTCTTGTAGCTTTTTAGTGTTCCGATCTTAAAGGGATAATATGCAGCAAACTGTATGATTTGTTCCTTTCTGTTTTCTTGTGTTGCTCCTGTCCCTAATTCTGATAGCTGAAGACAGCTCATCTTCAGTCCCCAAGAAAGTCAAAGCTCAGGACAACTGGAAGCCCATGCTCAGGTCCTCGATCATCGCTCTGGAGAACATAATGGACTTAGCAATACTGTGAGTTCACTGTGTTAATTTATAGCTGAGCAGCTGAATTCCTTGTAGAGCTGCTATTGAGACTGTAGAAGCAGTATGCTCGGATTTATAGCACATAATGTGAACTGTCATTCATTTAAGCTTCTTGTTGACAAAACATGGAGCCGCTACACTTAGTCAATGAGTCAAAATTTGCCTTGTGAGGAGACTTTCTTTTTAATGTGTTCACAGTGCAGCTCTTCCTTTGAGGCGGACAGAGAAGAAAGAGAGCCAGGAACATCTGAACATAATGAAAAACAGGTGGGCAATAGGTCTGACATTATGATGAAACTAAACCTTAGTTCTTTATATCTAAACATTACTAACCTTTATGTAATTAAATCAAATTAAGTAAAATCTCAAGTTTACTATTTTACGAGACTGTGATAAAAATCTGTGGACCCAAGGATGCTAGTTGGTAAAGTGCTTTTGGTCCTGTTGTGCATATTGCGCTGACAAAATAAGTGTAGGTAATCAAGCCTAAAACTCTCTGAGCCTGCTGATTTTCAATTTACATATTGCACTAATTTTCCAGAACAAAATGCCCAGAATCAAGAAATGAATTTACATTTCTAGACACAACTGAAATACATACTTAATCTTCATGGAACTTAATTCATGACAGCTTAATTTATTGTGTGCCAGAGAACACATGTAGGTATGTGGAAAGTCTTGTGCACAAAAAACATATTTTATCAATTTCCTGCATTTTATTTATTTTTTTATTATCGACTGGTTATAGAGCTGCATCACTTTAAGAACTGGACTTTATCAGTCTACACTGGAGAAGCTGGGCATGATTAGATGTGATAATGCTTGATATTTTTGGGGTGGTTGAATGTGTTTAGTTACTGTTTTTTTGTGCAGCTAAATAAATGTTAAGCTGCAAGTAACTAAAGGGCACTAATGTACTTTACAGTTCTTGTGTGGATTTAAGTTATCTCAGTAGCTTTTGTCTCTTCACATACCTTTGTGAGTCATTCCTGACTTGATGGTGTGAAGATAAGAGCTGTTTGTGTGTGAGTGGGTGTGCGCTTGCATGTGTGTACATGTATGATACAATTCCAGTGAAAGTTGATGAAACACATCCAAGTACTACCCAACTGTCCAAATCCTCATTTGGGTCCTTTTCTTGATTCAGACATCACTTTTTCAGATATTAATGAAAAAATATATTTGATTGTCAAGAAATGTCAAAGTTGCAATTTGATTTTAGTTATTTTGTCTTTTTCTGATATATTTCCCAAACCTTTTTGCAGGTTCCTTGGTCAATGTGCACAGCTCAAAGTTCCAGTGCAGAAACAGAAAAATCTGGAGCATTCATCTCAGCGCCATCAGGAGGAGACAAAGAAGTCAGTGGTTGGAAAGAAGACTCTGAGCACCCTTGAGGTGAGAGAATCTGTAGGATTCGGGTGGACTGTGATGCTTTCACTGTGAATTTTCAAGATTGAATCTGTTGGATAATTTTTACCAGATCATTTTTTGTGTTTCCAGGAAGATTTGAGGGCTGTAGTCAGTGCTCTGGAGAAGACAGAAGAGCAGACTGTGTCATTACAGCACTCATGCAGTATGCTTAGAGACCAGGTGGAGGAGGAGGAGGAGAAAGCTAAACAGGTGCAAAACATTGGCACAAGCATTCAAAAGTAAAAATGGTGTTATTTTTTTTTCTTTTGTGAGTCCCACGTCACTATGCTGCTCTATAATTGGTTGTAATAGATGTAAACAAAGTTAAATTAGATTTATTTGTTATAACTGCAACTATTGTAAAGAGTTTTTAAAATGTGTTTGGATTTTAAAAAAAACAAAAAAAAACTGAAATGAGTGGAGAAACACAACATAATGCAGATGGCTTCCTCACAGGTGCACTGCAGTTAAGCTATTAACATCCAATCTACTCTATGGCATGTATAACAATGCTGAGTAGTAGGCCCAGCATATTGCCATTTTGTATCAAGATGGTAAGAGAAAAATGCTTTTTTTTAGCGTAACTCTAACTCTGAGAAAGGTATCCATAGGATTGTGTCCCATTAAATAGACCTTTTTTTTTTTTAAAAAAACTGCTGTTGATGTCAGAATTGAGGTGACTCAATAGCAGAAGTGGTACACTGCATTTCTCCACATTAATTTCAGGCAGTTTGACATAAGGGTGTCTAGACATTTTCTTGCTAATTTAGTTGAACAACTTGGTGAAATGTGGCTGCTTGTGGCTATTCTGTGGAACCTGGCATAATGAAAGCTTGAGAAGTTAAGCCAGAGTCCTAAGCACAGGAGATGTCAATTAAATATTTCAATGAATAATGTCAAAACAGGTATTTGTAGTTTTTCATTAACCTCAACCTTTAGATGGAACAGGTTAGGGTTAGGAAGATATAAAATTACTCAGTTCCTGTCTTCCTGTGTTCACTCAGATTTTACAGACAATTGAACAAACAGTTCTCAACCTCCCCCGTCTTCCGCTACAGAAAGATGGCATATCATTGGAGGTAAGCAGAGCATAGCACAAAACACACTTTCACAATATCTAGCATCTGCTTGACTTGACCACATTGTGCAACAGCTACTGTCACTATTAAAGGCATTTGTTTCATTCCAACAGTTTTTTTTTTTTTTTTATGAATAAGCTGTGAAAATGTCTGAGTGAGCACTTCCTCTGTAATGCAACAGGGAAGTCTAAACATGCTCTGTGGTGCAACTACTTAGTTACATTGTGAAAAAAATATGAAATGAGTCTTGCAAAATGCATAGAGAGAACATGACATTCAAGTTTAGTGTAGTCTTGTTGATCTAATCAACTACGCCACAAAGCTTTTTTTTTGTTTTAGTTTCAGAGAACATTTTACAAAACACTGACACAAACCTCCACATTTACTATACTACTTTCTGTTTTCCTCAGGCTAGATTGAGAAAGATTATACCAGACAGTCACTCTGAGACCACTGCCCGGAAACTAGGAGAAATCCTGCAGAAATCGGAGGCAGTTCAGGATGACCAGGTGCTGCTTCTACAGGCACACAAACATGCTGATCAGCTCTTCAGCCAAACTAAACTGTGATGCAACCAGTTCAGAGGGGATGCAGCCAAAGTTGTCCTTAAACTAGGTTACATTTTTTTTTAAAAAGGAAATTGACTAATGAAAGTAGTTTCAACTTTTCACACCTAGTTGCTTTGATGTCCGGAGCACTGTTTTCTTGGTATTAACTCTACTTTCACTTGTGTGGTTGCTTTTGTGGTTTATTTCTGCTTATAGTGCACAAAAAGTTATTCTCATTCTGCATCCTGTTTTTCCCTTATGCTGCCTTTTCACAGCTTTAACTTAAATAAGAATGGACTGGTCCACTATGGATGCATTTGTCTTGCAATGAAAAGAAAGCTCAGGTGTCAAACTTCCCTGTTGTCATTTGAGGGTAAATACCAGGACAAAAAACTTTATTAAAAAATACTGTACATGCAAATAAAGACTCGTTGCTTTTTCAAATGAAATTATACACTCTGTAAACAAATATAAACTGAGGGCTAATACATGTCTCAAACACATCAGGATACATTTTTAACAATAAAATACTAGGCATGCTTGTATAGACAAAAACTGTGAACAAAGACAAGTCCAGTCATTGACCTGGTACATTCAAAATGAGATAAGCATCCTGCAACACATTTACTTCATACTCGTCATGTTGTGAGCCTACAGGCTTGCAGTACATTCAGTGGGTTATTAGGTACAACTAAATTGAGATATGTAAGCAGTCCAGACATAAAAAACATTTTCCTGCCTCAGCAGTACTCAAAGCGCTTTGCAGTGTTTTTTTGTTTACCTTTTCACACTCACACATTGGGAGGAACTTCGGATTCAGTATTTTGCTCAAGGACACTTTGGAATGTGGTCAAACCACCAATCACCAGTATGCAGGGTATTAACAGACTGAAGTATCACTTGCGTCTTTGGACCTGGCCCATACTAAGACAGTTCATGCAAGCTAATGATGCATTAACTTCGAGGAATCCATGTAAAAAATGTTACCTTGGAGCCAGGAACCAGGCAATAAAATGATGTCATTGGTTTATATTTTACCATGAAGGTTTTTCCTGCCTATGGATCAGTAGACAAGATGAATTAATTTTTGTTGCACATTAGGACCCTGCCTTTAGCATTCCCAAACAGAAGCAGTTTCTTGTTCTAGATGAAAGAAGAAACCTGGCCTGAATCATTTTTAGAGGAGTTATATGTTCTTACTTTTGCATTTTTGTGTCCTGACAAATCATGGGATGTTGTCTTTAAACTATTATTATTTTTTGTACAAAGGCTTCCCCATCAGAGGCAATCCCCATACTCAAAGTGCTTGCTCACTAAAGAAATACCAAGTGTGTGCAGTCAGAGATCCAATTAAGATCACTGTATTTATAGTCAAATCACTCACCATGATCACATCTCTACTTGTAAAAAATGAAGACAGCCATCTATTTCTTGATGGTCTGTGACTTTCAGGCTCATTAGGAAAACATTGGCATGAAGTACAACCGCTTTCCCTTTTAATAACATCCATATTTTATTTACACAGCTCAGTTTTAGGTGAGTTGAGGAGTTTGCACAAACTGAGAAATTGGCTATTTCAAAGTAATGCTGAGTTAAAATTTGAAATCAAAATATCAAAACATTGTGGACATTTCTGCTACATCTGCGAGTTCTTAAGTGACTTCCTTCGTATGGAGTCAATGGAGTCGTCATTAAAAAGTCGTTCAATAGTGGAGACAACTGAATCTTTGATTGCACGGCTTAAGCCTCTGGCAGCAAACACATACAGCACTGGGTTCAGAGCACTCTTTACGTACACCAAGAACAGAGATATGTATTTGCCATAAAGTGCTGGTTTATATAGTGCAGAATCTTGTTTGCTGGCCAGAGCCAGCAGAAACCGACAAACAAAATAGGGCACCCAGCAGGTAAGGAAGAGGAGCATGGTGAAAAAGAGCACGTGGTACATCCTGGTCATCCTGCGGGTATTTGAAGGGGCGGAGGAGGAGGTGGGTGTTGGGGGCACTGCTTGCTTAATGGTGAGCAAAACAGCCAAATTACTTCCCAGGAAAACCAGCAGGGGCAAAATGAAACCTGCTACAGTTTCTGTGACAAACAAGCCCGTGTTAAACGTGTCACTCTCCAGGCACTGGTGAGTCCCATTGATTTCCTTCAGGACAGCGAGGTGAAGGTAAGGGACAGACAGGATGGTAGCTAGCAGCCATAAGAGGCCACAGGCGAGAGGAACAGCCCAGGAGGGCCGTCGCAGTCGAGCCCACACAGGCCTCAGCAGGCACAAGCATCGCTCCAGAGCCACAGCACAGAGGAGGAAAGCGGAGGCGTACAGTCCAAGGCCCCGCAGGAACATAATCAGGTGGCAGAAGACTCGACCAAACGGCCAGCTGTAGTTGTGAATGACGTAGCCCAGCATAAGGGGGGTCCGCAGGAGCAGCACCAGGTCAGCTATTGCCAGGTTCATGACGTAGACGCGGAAACTGCTGGCAGCACGTGTTTCCTCACCACTGCCTCTACGCACCAGGTGACGGCGACTCCGCAATCCAAGTGCCCAAACCACCAGCCCGTTCAGAGGTACGCCCACCTTCAGGTAACAAGAGAACAGCCATCAGTTACATTCAGCTTGACAGGATTAAAAGCAATAGCTTGACATGTAACACACTAAGTTGCTTTCTTTTTCCCCTAGTGAGAAGTGAAAGACTGATACCATTCTAATGTTTGGGACCAAAGAGGAAGTTACAGCCAACAGCTAACTTGACTCTGGTCACATGTATAGTCATCCTTAACTCACCAATTAACATGTTATATGTCATTTATTTGGCCAGTCTACAGGAAATAACTGCTCTCAATCAAGAGATGGTCTCACACGTAAACCCCTGTAAATCAAGGGATGAGACAAACAAGGTGTAACATCTTAATTATTTTCACTTTCGTGCATTTTGTGACCTTTGGATGGGAAAAGGCTGGCTGTTTCTCTCTGCTTTCCGTCTTGATGGCAAGATAACCAGCTTATATGTGTTGAACTCTACCTTTAAAATAGTAATAGTACATTCATTACATTTATTATAAAGATTATGTTGTATATTCAGAGATTCTCCCCAAGTTCAACTGACAGATTTAATCAGTGGCCCTAAATAAGGATTATTTCCAATAACACCCCATAACAAACAACAATACCCCAGCTAATTACTATACACCATTATGCGGCCCCCTTTGTCAGTGTTTCAGTCCTATGTGCAGTGATAGTTTACAATATTTCTGGCACAGACTGGCTCTGGAGTCATGCAGGATTTCTTACCAGGAAGATGAGCAGGGTAACTATGATTTGAACTACTCTTGAACCATCATTCTGCCAGGAGCTGCTGGAGCCACTCACGAGCTCCTTTGCTGCATGTGTTCCATTCATATCAGCCATTGAAGTCATGTCAAGCTGCAGATGAACAGAAACACAACAGACATTCACCTTATGTCACATATACACAAATGCTGTGGATTTTTTTTCTGTGTAAAATTTTGCTTCAAACGTGTGACGCAACAAAAGAACAACAATCCATTTTGAAATCGACAAAAACGGAAGATATGTAACATGCATGATTGCATCTAAATATGTGTTTCACATGTGTTTCTTGTGAAAAAATGGAGACAAGCAAGTGTCCACATCACATACCAACATGACACCACAGACTTCCTTCCTACCTACTAGTTCAGCTTTCATTATTGAAAATTGGAACTGTTCTGTGTTTGAGATAACATTAAAAGATCACATTTTCAATTGGTTTTATACAGCAAAGCAAGTGCAGCACTGCAGTCGTGTCTCATCAGCACACATGTTTTTGTCATTTAAGAAGACTTTAATTTTTATTATTTACTGAAGCCCATAACCACAACCTGGCTGTCTGTAAACCATATTCTTACAAAATCTAATGGTTAACCATGCAACGGGCAGCTTTTTGTACCCACGCAGTTTGACCATGTGATGGTGCTTCTGCCCCATAGCGTGGTTAATAAATGCACTCACTCATAAAAACACAACAGCACCTGGGTCAGGTGTTCTAAGAACAATAATGATGAAGGAGACAGGAATCTGTTAGGTGAATATTTATGCAGCCTCGGGGTCCTGCCTGAATGTACATCTAGACCAGGCCTGTTTGTGGGCAACATTAATACATTCCTGTATGAATCAACACACCTCCTTTAGTCCACACAGAACAGCAGCACGGACATGTGCCAAAGTTGCTGATAGCAGTTGGGTTTAGTGATTCAAATATCAAACTTCCCCAGAATCTACACTAACCAAGAAGTTTAGGAAGCAGGATTTACAAGCTGTGTCACCAAGGCAGTGCTAAAAAAAAGCTGCTTCCCACTGTTTAAAGATAATTTAAATAGTTTGCTTCTTACCTCCTGTATTTGCCCTGTGTGTGGAAGAAATGGAGCTGCAGATAAAGTCAAAGGGAGTGCCTTCTAGCTGGTATAACTCTGACTGCTATAACAATAATCTCTCAATCACTCTCTCTCTCTCTCTCTCTCTCTCTCTCTCTTTCCTGTGTGTGATTGCAACACACACTCCTTCCTATAAGCATATCTGCAAGCATCAGAGACTTTAGTTTCGTTGATAATATTTTTTATTGCAAGGTGAATGTAATTTCCGCTTTATCGAAACAGATTTATCAGATGTTCTACACGTAAGAACTGACCGTTAGAATCATGAAATGGCAAAGGGACCCGAGATAACTTTAAACTGATGTAGGATTTGTTTCACCTCAAAGCTAGTAAGCATTTAAATGTTCAAGAGGTAAAATTTTTTTTTTCTTTAAGATTTTAATGATTTCATAAACAGTGATTCTGTATGCAGCTGGGTAACTCGTGAAACACATTCATGTTCTCTAATTTGCTACTTTATTCCTGTTCATCTAGTTCCACATTATTTAAGCAAAAAAAAAGTAGAAAATAGATGTGACAGGGAATTAAAGAAAAAGGGTGACATTAGCTTTAGCTGTCTTTGAGTGTAGGATGTTTGCATTTGCACATTCAGTATCTTAGACTCCAATAAGCACCATATTTACCTAATTTGTTTTCAGATATATGACTCTCCATTTATGTCTGCCTCATTGTTTTGCACTATTGCAGTTCGGGAAGTTAAGAGTCAAGGATGACATAATCAGAGTACGGAACTGTTTTAAACACCAGAAAGAAGTGCTCACACTCGAAGTTTTAACGGTCGGCATGCACTTAGATTATAAATACACTTACAGTCTTTAAAGGCATAGTCGCCATTACAGCTTGATCTGATCATGTTGAAAGCATGTATGTACACACTGACCAAGACTGGATGTAAGTGATATATAGACAGCGACAGTGAATGTCTAGTGTCTTATCTCAGACGTGCATTATGCAAAACTTGCTGGTTGAATAATCCTGAAAAAACGCTCTCTCATCTTGCCTGTACTACTGTGTATGTACAGCACAATGACAATAAACTTGATTTGATATATAGCTGAGTCCTGTTTTTGATGTCAGATAACTTCAAACAAGATGGGATCCTTGAGCTATTCTGGAGCAGGTTTTTTGCAATGTGGCAGGGCATATAGTCCTGCTAGGGGATGCTGCTGAGATGTCCCTACTGTCCTTCTCAGACTTGATGATGAAATATACATCATGTGGGCCCTCCGCAGACCCTCGAAGAAAGCATGATTTGGATCTTAGTATTTTTTTTAAGAACCCCGTTTGATGTAAAAACAGCCTCAAGATAAATGAACTCCACAAGTTTGTGCAAAACTCCGACGGTGTTCCAAAGAACTTTTTGTAATGTCCACAATGTTAGTCTTTCTCCGTCCTCAGATGGCCCCATACATGTTCAGTACAGTTGAGCTCTGGTGACTATGAGGGCAAGTGCATAATAATCAGCACTCCTTGGTCTTCAAGTACTTCTTGCAAAACTTTGAGGTGTGTTTGACATCATTAACCTGCTGCAACATGAATTTGATTTGCCTGATAGTGCTTTGAATACAACTGATCCAGCTTCTGCAAACTGTTTTCGAGAGCCAGGCACTGCTTCCTCAGAAGCTTTCAGTCTATCCATTATCTGAGGCTGAACGTCCTCTTTACTTCGAATAACACCCTGACCTCTTGATTCATTCACTTGGTTGAATGCATGCTTCCTAATGTCACAATGCTGTTGAGTAATCAATGTTCTGCTTTAGATTTCAAGGTGCAGCATATTCACAACAGGTGAACATTGGCCACAAGTTGATTTATATGAACAAGCCTGTGATAAGTACACTGAGTCATTTAAACGCCGTTTCAGTGGAAGAGATAATAATCAATGAAAACTGATCTTTGGTGATCAATGCCACGAATTTGACAGTTTACCCTAGAAATTGTGCAAAATCTACAATATGTATTCTTTCTAACTTACTAATTATTTGAGATTTTAAAATCTGTCTGAACTGATAATTTCCAGGTTTTTCTGAAAATGTGTCAGATTTTCAATGCAGTCTCAAACTTTCGAACACCTGTTTATATTGCTTCAAAGTGATACTGACTTTGGAGTTGAAGCTGAATGATTAACTTGTCACAAATATATACAGGTGAAACCAGAAGTTTACATACAGTATATAAAAAGACACATAACTTTGCTTTTCTCACTGTCTGACATTAAATCAGACTAAACTTTTCCTGTTTTAGGTCATTTAGGATTACCAAAATTATTTATATTTGCTAAATGCCAGAATAATGAGAGAGAGAATTTTTTTTATTATTACTTTTTTTCAAAGCCTGAAGTTTACATACACTAAGATTACTATGCCTTTAAACTATATGGGAAAGACCACATGATGATGTCATGACTTTGGAAGCTTTTAATAGGTTACCATCCCAACTGTGAAGTACGGGGGTGGCAGAATCATGTTGCGGGGGTGTTTTACTGCAGGACGGACTGGTGCACTTCACAAAATAGATGGCATCATGAGGAAAGAAAATTATGTGGAAATGTTGAAGCAACATCTCAAGACATCAGCCAGGAAGTTAAAGCTTGGGCACAAATGGGTCTTCCAAATGGAAATGACCTGAAGCATACCACCAAATAAGTTACAAAGTGGCTTCAGGACAACAAAGTCAATGTTTTGGAGTGGCCATCACAAAGCTGTGATCTCAATCCTGTAAATTTGTGGGCAGAACTGAAAATTCCTATGGACCAAGGCGGCCAACAAACCTGACTCAGTTACACCAGTTCTGTCAGGAGGAATGGGCCAAAATTCCAGTAAACTATTGTGAGAAGCTTGTAGAAGGAAACCCAAAACGTTTGACCCAAGTCATATAGTTTAAAGGCAACGCTACCAGATACTAAGGAAATGTATGTGAACTTCTGACTTTCAAGTAAGTAGTAAAAAAAAAAAAATCTCTAAAAAATTCTCTGTCTCATTATTCTGGCATTTAACAAATAAAAATAATTTTGGTTAGCCTAACTGACCTAAAACAGAAAAAGTTTAGTCACATTTAATCAGGTAGTCAGGTAGTCAGAAAAGAGGTTGCATGTCTTTTTATACAGTATATGTAAACTTCTGCTTTCAACTTCATCTTTATTTTTAAAGAACACAATTTCCTCAGAAGTGTTCATAGACACAAGATCATGTATTGCTCTAAATGGATATTTTTAAAATAGCTTTGGACAACAATGGAGCCCCTGCTTTTGGTTTTTACCACAGAATCTAAGACAACAATGTTAAAATGATCAACAGTAAACAGTTTTCCAGAGGTGGAAAGAATACTGTGTTATGCCCCAGCCTAAGGGAACCTGGGGCATAGCATGGATATTGCTCCACACTAGTCCCTCCACCTCGAAGAATGCCAGCCACAACAAGAAGTCAAGTACAAGTACTGTTACAGGGCTGCAGGGTGGCGCAGTTGGTTAGCACTGTTGCCTCGCAGCAAGAAGGTTGCCGTCCCGGTGGGGGGCACCGGAATCTTACTGCGTGGAGTTTGTATGTTCTCCCCGTGCAGTGTGGGTTCTCTCCGGGTTCTCCGGCTTCCTCCCACACAGTCCAAAAACATGCTGAGGTTAATTGGTGATTCTAAATTGTCCGTAGGTGTGAATGTGAGTGTGCTTGGTTGTCTGTCTCTAAGTGTAGCCCTGTGATAGACTGGTGACCTGTCCAGGGTGTCCACTGCCTTCGCCCTAAGTCGGCTGCGATAGGCTCCAGCCCCCCCGCGACCCTCGTGAGGATTAAGCGGTGTATAGATAATGGATGGATGGAAGTACTGTTACATTGCTTAAATTGTACTCAATTACAAGTAAAAGTACTGGTGTTAAAAAAAATACTTAAATAAAAGTACAAAGTACTCTCTCAAAAACTACTCAGAGCATTGATTACTTTTTAACCGATGGATGTTTCATTGCATCGTCAATAGCAGGCATTCGAATCGATTCACCTGTATAAAATATCTACATTCAAAGAACATTTCTCAGACGAACAATGTATAGAACAATTACACTAAGGCAATTTGTTTTGTCAACAAATGTGAATAAAAAGCAGGAATTTTGTTTGTTAAAAGAATGACAAAAATGTTTTTGAACCTGCATAGAACAGTTTAAACTTTTCCCAATACACTGCAAACAACAGGCAGGTAAGTGCCTTCAACTCTTAGACATATTAGCATTTCTGTCACACTTCACTTTCTGAACCTTTTGATCAGTTTCAGCAGGAGCTGGTTTTCTAAGTTAACAGAGTCTCTTCGGCCTCGTTTGGCTGTGAAGAGTAGACCAGCACAGGTAAAAAGTTGTTCACATGCAGCAGAGGCAGGCAGAGCAATTGCATCATGGTCATCAATATGATCAGTCAGGTCAAGAGCATCTGGGTCTGCTGCTTCTTCTGCATCATTTTGTGCCCCAAACATGTCGAAGGCCTTGATGAAGTTGGATCCACTATCAGTTGTGGTTCTTACAACTTTGCCTCTAATCTTGGATTGGCAATGGAAATCATCAAGAGCACCAGCAAGCATGTCAAATGTGTGAGACCCTCTCAATCTTTTGCACGCTAGTGCTGCAGATCTTCTTTCCAGGGACTCTTCCTCTATCCAAAGGCATGTGACCCCAAGGTAACTTTTCTGATGAACTGACCAACAATCAGTAGTTGTAGCAACAAATTTGACTTTATCCAATGCTGCAACCAAAGTCTTTTTCATATGATCAGCAGCTTCACAGATTCTGGCACGGAAAGTGGGTCTGGAGATGACTTTGGCTTGAGGTTGTAATGTGGTGACCAATTCTTTGAAAGCGGGCTGTTCTACCACTGCAAATGGCTGTAGACCCTCATATATGAAATTGATGACAAGCTTGTCAACCGTTGCTTGTGGGACATGTATGTTTGCAGTGCTCCACATCATTTCTGGTAACTTGGCTTGTTTATTTGCTGAGAGCTTGTTTGCTGTGGCTGTGGTCTTCCGTTGACGAGATGTTGCTGCCACAGTTACGTCATGGAACTGCTCAATC